TCAGAGCTGGACTTTGTTCTTGCACTGGGAGTGGGGGTTTATTTCCTCTTGTGTGTTCCCCTTGCAAGGTAATAATATAAACATTGCTATTTCTGTGTGAAACAGACTTCAAGTGTATTCCTGAAGTGAACAGTGGAAAATATGCTGTTAAGAAATGCTCAGTAATGTATGAAGTGTAGATAGATAGATTAGATTGTTTTTCAGTGCAGTGTCTTGGAGGTGAGAGAGCTGAAGTAGTTCTAGAGGGAAAGCTAAGATTATCTTGGACGGGAATTGCTGGAGCACCAGGGGAAGCAGTGTGGTTGTAGGTCAGGCATGAGGAGTTCCTCCTGGAAATCAGGATTAAAACTGCTCACTGTGAAGGAGTAATTCTTAGCTGAGTAAGGAAAGAATCTGAAACTTCCTTGCTTTTCAAGCAGGGAAGTGGGGCTGTAGTCAGCAAAGTTGGACTAAGGGTTATTAACTGACCTGGTCATAGTTGTGATTTTTGGTCTGAAGGTGGCTTTGCAACGCCAAATAGAGTTGACAACTCTTACTAAATTTATTCTTGTATTTAAAAACCTTCTGCTGCTCTCTGAAAGTTTTGGAGCTGGGAAAAATCAGCTGCTAAAGGGCTTGCCAGTAAGTGCCTCACAAAGAACTGATCCAAAAGGAATGACAGGTAAGGTTTGTTTTAGGGCATACAGTTTGCTACCTGGCAATGGCCACTGGCTGTTCCTTGCCCTTAAAGTTCTTTTGAAGGGCTTTGCTCTGGTCCCTGTAGGATCTGTTTGGTACCCTCTGGGTGTCAAACACCAGGGGCCCAAATGCCAAGGTAAAAATTTAGCAAGTTCTAAATTGTGTTCCTTGTCTAATAGAAGGCAAAAGTCCTCACTGAGAAAAGCCGAGACATGAAGTTGTATTGGATTTTAAGACTGGAAAATAGGGGCCAGCCCCAAAAATAAACAAAAATTTTTTTTTGTGAGAGGTGGGATTTTTTTTGTCTTTTAATACTTGTCTGAGCTAGTGTGGTTCATCCAAGTCCAGTTTCAGATGCTGCTGTTTTATATTACAGTGCTTAAAAACACTGAAGCTTAAAAAGTAAATCCTGTTAGGTTAATGAGCCCGACTTGCTGTTTGACAGGCGTGCAGAGCTGCTGTGTGCAGCCTGGCTGCCAGACACTCCACTGCAGTGCACTGCTTCCTTGCTGCTGCTTCAGGAACTCTGAACCTGTCACCCGGAGACACAGATACCCTGCTGGCTGCTGTCCTACAAATGGCTAAAAGGCAGCTTCCAGGGAGATGGCACTGGCTGTTTGTCCCAAGGTGCCACTCAGGTTCTTCTGAGCAAAGGTTTGGGCTGGCTAATGACACTGAGTGCCCAAATGTACCATTTGGGCACCTCGTTGCTGCTGTCCCTCTGCATGGCACCTTACAAATGTGATTTTAGTTTTTGCAGTTTAGACAGAATGCTTGCTCTGGGTAAATGCTGGAAGGCAGGAGCACATCCGCACTCGGTGCATGCTGGATGGCCTGAAGGAGAAGGAGCAGGGAATGGGATCAGCAAAATGGGCTTTTGGAATTAGACAGGGAACCTGAAATGGGAAGGAGAAAATTACTTTTTACAGCCTTTTCTCAATGCTTCAGGGTTGTCCTTACAGCAAAGATGACATTCAGGAAAACTATAACTCAGTGATAACCAAATGCTAGAGATATTTTCTCTTCTCCCTCCCTCCCTGGCCTGGTGTAAAATTAGGGAGGTGCTAGTCCATGTTTAGCCTTAAAAGCAGCAAATTCAAAATCAGTAGATTTTAAAAGCTTTTCTTCAAGTCCTTAATGCTGGAGAGTTGTTTGTTTGTTTGGGTTTTTTTATGTGTGTAATTAGTTGGGGTTTTGTTGTGTCTTACTGTGAGGGAAACTGGTGAGAGGAAGTTGATTCTTTGACCTTAGTTTACATCTGTGTGCGATGATGTAGAGGCTTGGGCTCGCAGTGGGAGCTGTGCTGATGGCAGTTCTGTGTGTGGGTGGCTTGATGGAGAGAGCTGGATGAAGTCAGAGTCAGCATCAAGAGCTGAATTCTGTCTCTGTTCGGTTCAGCACTATGTGGTGGCCGAGCCTCACCACTCAGGGCAGCTCGTGTGTGCCTTGTCTTCCTGTCCTAACCTGGCATTTGTCCAAATGCATCTTCAGTAATTGGTGTTTGTCTGTCAGAACAAACTTGCTGGCATCTTACAGGGCTGTCTTCAGTGGGTACAGACATGAGTCCTGTTTGAGAGCAGCCAGAACCTGGGAGTTTTGTTCTCCTGGCATCTTTTTGGTAGTAGAAGTAGCAAATATAATAAAAATTGTTTTGAGCAAAGTAAGCCTAGGCCGGAATAGAACATGAGGTTCTTACTGCAGGATGATAGAGTAGGAGAAATCTTGTAAAAGGGCTGATGTTGGGACCCTGAACAATTGGGTTATGTCAGAGTATTGTTGGATTGGAGGAATGCTGACGGAGCATGCAGATGAAGTATTCTGATATGTAAGGTGGAGCATTTGTATGCTATTCTAGACTTTTTTTAGTCAAGGGAAATAAAATACGTCTGAAGCCCTTTAAAGGAAATGTCTGTTTACTTGACCTGGTACATGGGAATGCTTTGTCTTCATTTGTAGCTTCTGTGGAGAAGGCAGGATTTTCTGAGAAGCATAAGTAGAGTTTTCCCTTCTACCAAAATAGGGTTTTATTCCCTGCTTTGGTACACCATGTCTTTATCACTATCCTTGTATGGTACTTGGTGTTGTGTAGAAAAACGGAAAAGACAAGACTGTAATGAAACCCTGTAGGTAAATAACAATTTTGAAATTGCAGAGGAGAAGTTCTGCAGGCTGCAGGTGGATCTCTTCTACCTTGCAACAGAGAAAATTTTACTCAATATTTAATATTAAAAAAGAGTGTGTTTTTCCAATTAGTTAATTTCTTGATACTGTTCTGAAATGTTTTTGGTGACAGCACATAATATAAACATTCCCCAAACTTTATTGTGAGGATGTTTTCTCCTGGTCCCTCATGGGAGTCTCGGTGCTGTGTTGTATGTGGGTGGATTTCTGCTTCTCCCTGTCCTCCTTGGGTTGTTTATTTAATCACACCATGCACATATTCTTAGCAGGAAGGAGATGGGAGGATTTTTCCATTTGAAACTTAAACTGCATGAAAGACCTAATTTTGGGGAGAGGAGATGTGTGGGGGAGAGTAGTTTTCCTATTTTGACTTTTTTCTTAGCAAATATTTCATAGTGTTAGGAGGAACCACGACCAGCTGTTCATTATTTCACTTGGAGGAGATTTTTTTTTTTCAGATAGTCTGAGCAGTTGGGATTTTGCATGGGTTGGGTGAGCCAAGAATCCTTGCACGGCTCCAGAGTTTGCCTTTCCAGGGGTGCAATCTGTCGCTTGGCTCCTGAGCAGCGCAGCGGTTCCTCGTCTTGCCGCAGCACGCTGGCTGTCCTCTGGAAGAAGACAAACAGCAAGTCCTCAGATGAACCAAAACAGGCTTAAAATATCAGAGTAGGTGCAGAGAGCGGTGATGGGCAGAGGACCCTGGCAAGGCAGGGTGCTTCCGGACTGGGGAGGAAACTAGGAGCTGCCTTCAGCAGTTTGCCAAACTGGAGAGAGCAGCCTGTGTGAGTGTGGCTTGGAGAAAACACTGCTGAGGGGCGACAGGCAGTGCTGCTGGACTGTCCTGCTCTTGGCATCAGAGCCACTTGGGTCTGAAGGCTGGAAGTCCTCCCTTTCAGCTTGGTGTTCCCAGATTTGGAGGAGGAGGGCAGAGTGGCTGCAAAAGAGCAGAGGGAGCCTTTAGAGGTGCCCTTGAGATGTGTGTTTGTGTATTGCCAAGAGCTGACCAGAGGCTTTGTTTCTCACTGGTGGTGTTGAAGGGATAAAATGAAGAAGATGGGGAAGTAGTGCTCAGCCTGCCTTCCTTAGCAAACAAGGGAGTTGGGTTGAAGCTGAGTGTGTCCTGGAAGTGTTGAGTGGGAGACAGACGGCAGAAGGCAAAAGTTGTGTGAGCTCCCTGCTTGTGACAGGAGAATGGATGGGAGGCTGGAGGGACCTTCCAGGAGTCCTTAGGTGACCTGCTTGCTCTTCTGGTTTGTCTGCCCACATAGAAGGATTCTTGGGGAATTTATCTGCAGGAATCTGAACTTGTGATGCTCGTGGGACTGCTTTGAAACTTTAGAGACACAAATGAAGCTTAAGAATAAAATAATTTTCTGTTTCAACGGGGTATATTCCATGTGGAAACAGATGCAGACAGTGGCTGCTTTTATCCGGAGGTAACTGCAGTTTTTAATTGTTGTAGGGGTGGCACATGTGATTTCTCTGTTGGGCAGACTGGCATTTAAATTGATTCTGGTTTTGGATTAGGGATTGGGATTTAGGTTTTGAAACTGGAAGCTGTTAAGATGTGTAGGGGGATGTTTAACTTGGTCTTTATCACTTGATAATTGTTTTGGTGAGGCTGTGGAGTGAGCTCATGGAATTCTCAGAGAAGTGTTTTCTCTGATCTACTTGTCCTCTAGCAGGCAGGATAACACAAATTAGCATTAGGACTTTCTTCTCTAAAACACTAGTCTCATTCCTGATTTCTACCTATTTCGCAGTAAAAACAGATGGACAGCACAGAAAAGTAGAGTCTAGAGCAGAATTTGGACAAATCAGAAGCTCTTTTCTAAAAAAGGAAGATAAACAGTTGCATATTCGCTAGATCAAGTTTAAGAAAATGTTCTCTTGAGAAAGATGCTGTGACATGAAGTAGTTTTATAGTGCCGTCGATATTATGTGGAAGGTGGTACTTGGCCATGTGGTTCTTTTCTTTGGGTGTTGCATTAGGAGACACCAGGCCCAAAGTGAGATATGTGAAGCCAACCAAGTACTTAAAAATAAAATGCTCAGATAATAACTGCAGCTGTTGGTTTTTTGTGGTTTAAGTCTAGTTTGTTCAGTTATATCAGTCTTAAACCATGTCTGTTACCTTTCAGGTGGAATCATTTATCTTGGATCAGGATGATCTCGAAAACCCTATGTTGGAAACAGCTTCTAAATTGCTGCTGTCAAGTACTGCTGATGGTGCTGACCTGAGAACAGTAGATCCCGAAACCCAGGCAAGATTAGAAGCTTTACTTGAAGCTGCGGGTAAGTCCTTGTGTCCCATACAGGTTTAACCCCAAAGCCCTTACAGGAGTCCGTGCTGGAATCGCTTGCATAAGGCTAATCCATAGGAGCATGTTACAGCTGCAAAATGCACGGCGGGCTGGATTTGGCAAGGGAGGCACGCAAGAGAAAAAAGTTGCTTTTAGAGTATTCCAAGGTCTGGAAAATCAGAATTTCATGTGAAGATGTTTCAAATGAGATTTCTCCAGTGCTGGCGTTCTAAAAGCCTGAGTCAAAATTGACACCTGACTTTGGCATGTGCCATTATGTCAGACCCCAAATTGCTCAATGGGTTTTATTTTGTAGTAGTTCCTGTGTGAAAAGCTTTAATAGTTGCTTATATTATGTAGTTTCAGTAGCTGAAAACTGATTCCTTGTGTGGATTGGAGGGGTTCAGTCACGTGCAGCTTTTAATGAGTGTTGTGAACAGTTAAACCCATCATTTTGGAAGCTGCAGTTGATGTGCTTGGAATGTTCCTGCCGGCAGATCTCACAGGCTCCGTTTCAACTTGTGTGTTCTCTCCTTTCCTGGCGCGCGTCCCCGCCCTCTGTGGGTTGGAACGGCAGGAATAGGGAAGCTGTCGACGGCGGATGGGAAAGCCTTTGCGGACCCCGAGGTGCTGCGCAGGCTGACCTCGTCGGTCAGCTGCGCCTTGGATGAAGCCGCCGCCGCGCTGACCCGGATGAGAGCGGAGAGCACGGCCAGCGCGGGGCAGACGGACAAGTAAGGCAGCTTCGCTCCTGGAGCTTCTCAGCCCTTTGCTCCTTCTGGAAGCGGTTTTTCTTGTTCTAGCGCTTGTGCTTGGGGGATGATGAAACTCTTACTCAAGCGGAATTGGTGCCAGGTTATCACCTTTGCTTCTCCTGCTTAAATATTTGTGGACTAGCAGGTCTTGCAGTAGGGCGTGAAGCAATTCATGCTCCTTAGAATTATGGAATGATGCTCCAAGGAGTTTATCAGGACAGCTATGGAAGCATTTCTAAGCTCTTCAATGCTTAGAACTGTTCCAAAGAGTTACAAATCCCCAAATGGGTCATTCAGTCACAGCATGAAACAAGATTTCAGATAAAAAAAATATATTTTAGAGATTTTAATTGAGGAAGGGAAACAGCCTTGAGGGGCTGGAGCTCCATAGTGGTCAGTGTCACATAGGGCCCTGGATAGACCCTTGGCCAGAGAGGCCCTACAGTTTTACATGTAACTTCACATGTACAATTTTGTCTTACTGGGATATTCAGGAGGGAAAGAAGAAGGTTTCCTTCCAGCATGCCATAAGGCTTCAGTGCAGTGGAAACAGTGTTAGTAGGAACAGCCAAGTGGTCCTGTGCTAGTCAGAAGTTTGTTCCTTCTACACGGAATAACTCCAAAGAAAGATTTCTTGCTGCAGGAACAGCATGAAGAATAGTATAATTTTGGGTTATGTCTGCTTCTGTTCTGTCTGCATCCCCTCTTCTCGTCTGCACCTCTTTCTTGGGAATGGTGGTAGTTGCCAAAGTTGTTATAAGAACAGAGGTTTTTGGAAATTAAAAAAAAAAAAAGGCCAGCATGTAGTGAAGAGACATATTTCAGAGCTGATTCTCTGTGTATTAAAATTGTCTGGTTGCAAGATCCTGGTATTTTCAGCACAGGAGAGAAGGGAAGTCGTTAAGCTTCCTACAGAAGACTGATGTAGGTGATTTGTTTTAGTTTATTTGTTCAGCTCTGTAACTATTAATTAAAGTTTTCTCAAGATTGACAGGTGATTTCCATGTCCTCTGGTCCTGGGATATCCTGCATCTATTTCTCTTGTAAACTTCTGTTAAAAATTAATAGCAGGAGTGGATATGGACAGAACTTAATTCTCAGCCAAGTTAGCTGGGAAACCTCAAGTGTAAAACTGGCACTTCTTTAATTAGCAGTTGGCACGTTTTTAGCTCGTGTTTCCTTTTTTGCTGACTGTGTCCTCATGGCACACTGGAGCTGAGGCACAGTCCATTTCCACTCTGAATGCTTTCCCCCTTGTTAGCCGCAGCTTGGCCGAGGCTTGTTCCGAAGGAGATGTGAATGCCGTGCGGAAGTTGCTCATTGAAGGCCGGAGTGTGAACGAGCACACAGAAGAAGGGGAAAGCCTCCTTTGTTTGGCCTGCTCAGCAGGATATTATGAGCTTGCACAGGTTGGTTTCCTGGCTGTTTGTGCGACGTGTACATTGTACATAAAGAAATGTTAAATCAGTACATTAGCATTTTGTGGAGCCGGAAGGGGCTGCTGAGGTCCCCAGCACTGGGGTGAAGGTGGGGGTTTGTGGTGCAGGCGCAGGGTTTGTCACTCCGTGTTGTTGATGAGTGTCTCTCGGCAGGTTCTCCTGGCAATGCATGCCAATGTGGAGGACCGGGGAATCAAAGGAGACATCACACCTCTGATGGCTGCTGCCAATGGCGGGCACGTCAAAATTGTCAAGCTGCTGCTAGCTCACGGTGCTGATGTGAATGCACAGTCATCCACAGGTAAAGGGGCTGCTGGGAATCCAGAGCTGGGATTTGCTCTGTGCAGAGAACTTGGCGTGGAAGTCTGGGAGCAATGGCTATCAGCCCAGCAAAGCAGAATGCTTCCCTGTGGTTTTGCCATTTAAATTTTCTTTTCTAAGTGAAACTCTGAAATATTGAAATATTATGGAGATATACAAAGGTGGATTAGGTCAGTTAGTAACTGGAAGGTGTTTGAGTACCTAGGATAAGTTGTCACATTTTGAGCATGGTTTGGTAAGTTTGTGTGTATGTGGAAAAGTAATTTGGTGGCAGGTCAGGAAACCCAAAGGGAAAAGTGACAGGAGAGCCTCCCCTTCCACTCTTTCTGTGGTAATTGGCTAGCCCTTTGTATTGAAGTGACCAGATTGGGAAATCTTGCAAGTTTTTGTAGCCTGGAAGTAGAGAGCTGGTGTGTAGTCAGCAGTAACTGATGAATGGTGAGGTGACCCTGAGTGAAGACACCTTATTTATTTTTAAAATATTTTTTTCAGTGAAGTAGTTTTCTCAGTGGCAATAAGGCTTGAACTGTAACATTTTTCACAGAGGAAGATTCTTTGACTGTTGTGTGCAGATCCACATTTTTGTATTTTTTGCACTGTAGTTGTTTTCCTTTCCTTGTAAAGATTAGGAACATTTTGGAACCAGCCCCTTGCAGGTGTTCAAGAGTTTATGTAGAAGCAGCAGTTCATTCTACTCCTGGTTTTGGGCTTTAATTCTTACAGCATCACCTGCCCCTGCTGATTAACAGGGAAATTGATGGGACTTTGTGACAGAGGCTGGGCTAGGAATGGGAAGAGAGGTGCATCAGTACAGGCACAGGGAGATCCTCAGTCTGTCAGCACCGAGCCGCTTGGTGCCACTGCTGATTTCCCCCTCCGTGTAGTTGTTCATCTGTAGCCTGAAAAGCCCTGTTCCATCAGGTATCCAGGTAAAAGGGATGGATTGGAGCATCAGGTGAAGTTCTGGGTGGAGCAAGGCACCAGGTTCTGTTCCCAACCCTTGTTCTCTGTGGCTTAAGGCAACACAGCCCTGACCTACGCCTGTGCCGGGGGCTATGTGGATGTTGTGAAGGTGCTGCTGGAGTCGGGCGCCAGCATCGAGGACCACAACGAGAACGGTCACACGCCGCTGATGGAGGCCGGCAGTGCCGGCCACGTGGAGGTGGCCCGGGTGCTGCTGGAGAACGGGGCGGGCATCAACACGCATTCCAACGAGTTCAAGGAGAGCGCGCTGACGCTGGCTTGCTACAAAGGTAACCAGTGTCAGGGGCCAGCGTGCTTCCTTCAGCCTTGCTGCCCACGACTAGGGTGAATAAAGGGCGTGAGCAGACACTGTGGTGCTCTTGTCCTGGCTGTAATACCACACAACATGCCTGTGCATTATGCAAAATCATCTGTGCAGAGTCTGAGTATCTGAGTAAACCTTTGGTCTGAGCTATGATTATTTAGAAGATGCTCTGTTAAACAAATGAAGAGACAAAGAGCTAATGTGTTACATTAGAGGATAAGTAAGCTAAGCTTTCTGTATTACAGCTGTATTATGCCAGGTATCTCTGCTTAAATACAGCAAATATTTCATTTTAAAGGACTTGGCACTGGCAAATCATGGCAGGTTTAGGACATTGCCTTTTAGGTGTCAGTGCTGAGGACAGCTCATCCTTTAGAGCATTAGGCAGCAAAATTGCAGCACCCCAGGAAGGGATGAAGATGTTTAATTAAGAGGCAAAATATGTTCCTACAGCAGCCCAGCAGCTGCTGTTATAGTCACTCAGGACATGTTTTATTAGGCCCTTGCCATTGTGGAGTAGTTGACGTTGGTAGCAGAGGTTCTTGTGTGGTACCTGTGTAGAAGTTGGTCTTAGTCTTTCATTTGCATTTCTTACCAACTACAGTGATAAGCTGCTGTGCATGTAGATGGCAGAGATACAAACACATCTTTGCAGAGTGGGCTCTTTATGTATGTTATAACATGGACATCCATGACCTTCATTATGTCCTTCAGAACACTATGAATGTTGAAATGCACTTTCTCAAGCAATTTCCTTCTGTTAACTATTTTTTCCACACAGGCCATCTGGAAATGGTGAGGTTTCTGCTGGAAGCTGGTGCAGACCAGGAGCACAAGACAGATGAGATGCACACTGCTCTCATGGAGGCATGCATGGTAAGAGATGTAAGGCTTGAGCAGTGAGGTCTGTGGGCTCTCTTTTTCTTGCTGAAGATGGAGAAGGTTGTTCCTTTGAGTTACCTTCTGGTACAGAATCTAACTGTGGTGTATTGGTTCTCTTGTCTGCTTGATGAGAAGGTAACTGTTAAACTGAGAATTCATTTCTTAAATTTCCTTGTTATCCTTCTCTCCAGATAGATTCCTCATGTGTTGGGATTTTCATGGCATTAGCCTTGTGTAATAGTACACTGTGAACCTGTGGCTGTAGAGGAGGGCAGTAAATCCCTGTTTAGTCTGCCCTCCCCTGAAACAACTAATGGTTCTAAAATCACCAGTTGTGTCTATTGAAGGAAGTTAATGGTTTCAGACAGGGGAATGATTAACAGAAACCATTATACTTCTTGAAAGTTGTTGCAAAGAAAGTCACGTAGGTAAACAGAACTCGAGCTGTCCTTTATCTCACCCTGAAATCTTACTAGAGCAGCCGCATGAATATCCTTAGCCATGGCCTTGCAGGCAGTTCATGGGAGTTGATGGTAAAATGACCTTGTTTGATGTTGCAGTTGCCTTCTCATCAAAGTTTTTGTGGTGGAGCTATGGATCAAGCCTTCCTTTCCTCGTCATTCCCTTCTGCCCTTTTAACTCGTCTAATAGACTAAAAAATGCCATCAGACCCACAGAGATGATAAGACCTAATTTTTGTTAAAAATTACTGAGCTATAGGAAAAAATTCTTTTCCCTGATTTCTGCAGGAAGCTGTTCCTAGGGAGGCTGTTCCATGCTGGTGTTCAGAGCTGGCAGATAGTTGAGAGTCTCATACCTTGAGCTCTTCTGCTGAGGGGAGAAGGAGCAGCTTTCTCTAGCAGTATTTAAAAACCTTGCAGTGTGAAATGAAGCAGAGCAAGGACATCCATCTCAGCATGTTCTTTGTGCAGAAACAGTTACTGCTCTTCAGTGGCACAAGAAAACTTCCTTCTCTGGCACAGCTCTGAGCTTCAATGTGTCCTGACTGAATTGTCTATCTGTGGCATAGCCAGTGCAGGTTCAAGCCTTTCTGCAGCCCTGTGCATTCAGGAATACTTGTGCCTGAGAGTTTTTTCAGACAGCAATTAATACTGATGTAATGCACATGAGGTGTTGGGCAATGGCACTTGCTTTGTGGGAGCAAAAAGCAGGGTGATCTAGTTGGTGTTTCCTCTCGCTGAAGGACTGCTGCCCACAGGGCTTCAGCTTTAAAATGCAGCTGGTGCTCTCGTGAAGGTTGCTCGGGTGACTTTTTCTGATCTGTTTACCAGTTGGAAGGCTTTTCCTGGCTGTTGTGGCAGAGCTCAGCAGCCCCACCCCATTGTAGGGTTTATTAAAACATGGATCCAGTTGCCTTGTGTGGTGGAGCTCCAGCAGTTCTCCTGCAGGCTGCTTGGCCTACATAGGAGGCTTTGAAGCAAGCCTTGGTGCTGTGTCGTGCCATCATCCTCATCGTGGAGCAGGGGTGAGCAGTTAGCTGTCTGGCCAGAGCCTGATTGATGAGGCACCGTCTCTGCATTTCCCTAAGGAAAGATTCTTTATGGAGGCTTGGAGTTTTTCCCTAAAATAGTACTGTCATTTCATGTAAAAGGTGAATATGTCCTAGTTAATGTCCTAGATATTTTTCCAAGAGGAAGCTGTGCTTTGCTCTCTGGATATCAGAATAAGGTATGAAACACTTGAGAAAATGAAGTGGAAAAATGTCAGATGCAGTTTGGTGTTTTGTCTGGAAAAGAGCTTTTTGGAGTTGTGGTTTCCAGCTTGGCAAGGATGGCTGTGGATACAATTTGCTGCCTCTTAGGAATTAATCTGAGATGGAGGTGTGCTTACCTCATTCAGTGACAACCTTGGGAATGTCTTGTGCTCCTGGTGAGTGGCTGTTTATTTGCTGCAGCCCTCTGGTGTTTTGTTTGTCAGGTTATGGTTCCTCCAAGTTGGAATGGTGGCCATCTCCTCATGGAGCAAACCATCTTGGAGAGTTCTTGCTGTTGTTGGAGTGCAGTGACCCAGCCAGTGTCTGCTTCTGTCTGAACAAAGCAGCATGGAATAGCAATTGGATGTGTCACTGTCAGGCCTCCAGTGTAAACATGGAGCTGAAAAGCCACTTCAAATAGTTCCTGAATTTATGGAATACTGAAAATATGACAGAGATCCTATGCTGAAGTATTTTTCAAGGGAGAAAGCAAATTTAGGAGCTGCCTTTTGGTAAAAGGGGTTTGACAGCATGATCACGGTGTCTGGAAAACCCTGCCAGCATCCTGCCAAGGGAAAGCTGTTGCTTGGGTGGGTGGCTCCTGGGGTGTGTAAGGAACCCCTGACAAGTGGTCCCATTTTGGCTTTTCTCTTGGAAGAGGAAAGTAAGTCTTGACTCTGCTATTACATGGAGCAGTGAAATAGTTTTGCAGGAGCCGTAAGGCAAGCCAGGTCAGTGTGCATGGCTCCTTCTTAAGAAAGGGAGGAAGCAAAAGAATCTTGCTATTGTTCTTGTGGAGGAGACAAGCTTCTAAAATAGTGGCGAGCTCCCTCTTGACTTTCTGGGCTTTATTTTGGAGTTCCCCATCCCCAACTAAGTTGATCCCAAACACCTGAACTGGAGTCTGACACAAAGTTGTCCGGCTTGTTGCTTACACCATTGACAGAGAGGTCTGATGTGAGGTTCACAGCACATATTCAGTAAAATGTGCTCAGCATTTCTACGGTTCCTGTTCAGTGTAGGAGATTTTAATTCAAATATTCAGGGAAATATTCAGAAAAACTGTTTGGCAAGTCTCATTGTATTTTTGGACTCATTTTACTCCCTCATTGCTTTTTGTGTATTGTGAGGGAATTTGGGTCTGTGACCAAGCCGTGGAGAAAAGCAGTTTTTCCATTTGGTCAGTCTTCTGATCTTGGTGGTTTTTGCTTCCTGCATTTCCAGGATGGTCACGTGGAAGTGGCGAGGTTGCTTCTGGACAGCGGAGCCCAGGTGAACATGCCTGCGGACTCCTTCGAGTCTCCGCTGACTCTGGCAGCCTGCGGCGGGCACGTGGAGCTGGCGGCTTTGTTGATTGAGCGTGGGGCTAACTTGGAAGAAGTCAATGATGAAGGATACACGCCGCTGATGGAGGCAGCTCGGGAAGGCCACGAGGAGATGGTGGCACTGTTACTTGGGCAAGGTAACTGCGGCGGGGCCTCGTGCGGGCTGCAGCTCGCATGTCTTGGGGAAGAAGCTCTTAAGTAAGCTGCTGTGATTTTTGTTTTCTTCGGTAATAAGGTGCCTCGTGCATATGGAAGTGGTTGTGTCCTGCCTTCTGTAACTGGTGTTTTGTGTTGTTTGAAGGAGCAAACATCAACGCTCAGACAGAGGAGACGCAGGAAACGGCATTAACTCTGGCTTGCTGTGGAGGGTTTTTGGAGGTGGCCGATTTCCTCATTAAAGCAGGAGCTGACATAGAACTCGGCTGTTCCACACCTTTGATGGAGGCTGCTCAAGAGGGGCATTTGGAGCTGGTTAAATATTTATTAGCTGCAGGTATGGAGTAATTTTGTTAACACTTTTGTACAGGCATAATCTAAGAAGAATGCTTTGTCCGATATTCATTACATTTTCTTCAGCAGCTTCTTGGAGTTGAAGTGAGGATCTTTGAAGCCCAAAGTAATTTACTGGCTGGACTCTAATATAGCTTTTGAAGACTGAGTTGATGTAAACTTGTTTGGAGCTAACTTGCAGTTTGTTTTTATTCCTCTAGAGTACGATCAGGTTATCAGTTTAATAGATGCTCGATTGGAAGGGGGAACTTTTATTTGCTGTTTGATCCTGTAAAGACTGTGGAGGCTTGTATGTTTTCTGTAATGCCCATCATAAAGCTTACAAGGTTTTGCCCTTTCTGTTTCAGGGGCTAATGTGCACGCAACAACAGCGACAGGTGACACGGCACTGACGTACGCCTGTGAAAACGGCCACACTGATGTAGCAGATGTCTTACTTCAGGCAGGTGCAGATCTGGTAAGTCATTCAGCTTCTCTAAAAAATCTAAGTTGGATATTAAATTATCAACACCTGATATTCTTTCTGTTTGTTTCTGTGTTCATTGCTGAAAATCTACATGTTCTTTAATGTATATTGGGCTGTTAGATTTCCCTAAAGCGCGGAAGTCAGTTACACTCCTCTGGTGACTGATGTCTGAAGCATTTCTAAGCCATTCAAGGTTGCCTGGACAGTAAAATAGGGGATTTCATTCTTTGGATATGGTATTCAGCTTCAAATTGTTGAGCTGATTCTGGGTTACTTCTTCTACTTGCAAATCTGTTCTATTCCTTATGCATCAGATAGTTGACAGTCTGGTGTGCTGTAATGGAATTAAGATGATGGAGGCAAACTGATTTTTACTTTTCAGTAGGCTTGTACACCAGTGTGTTATCAAAAAGCAATGTTAAACATGTCAGAAGATGTCTGTTTAACTAAAATCCTCATTGTGTGCCTTGATTGCTTTTTGTCCAGGAGTCACACCTGTGCAGGGACAGGTGGTGAATGGTTCACCTTGCCTTCAAGGTACCCTTGGTTCCAGTGTTAGCTAAATATTTATGTCTAAGTTTGTGGAACACTAGAACAGGATGTTCCCTGTCTAGCACCTTAGCATTCAATAACCCAGGAGGCTGCCTTCCCTTCTTTCACATGCTACTTTGGATTTTGAAGCTTTTCTTTATCTGCTCTAGGAGCATGAATCAGAAGGTGGAAGAACCCCTCTCATGAAAGCTGCCAGGGCAGGTCATGTTTGCACTGTTCAGTTCTTGATTAGCAAAGGTAAGAGTGTGGAATGGTTTGGTTTTCCTGACATTAGAAATACTTCACGTTAAGAACATGTCAGAGCTAGTGTAACTTCCTTGTATTTGTTTTAAATATACTAGCTCAAGTAGGCAATTAATTGTCCAACTGGGCATGTAACGATTACCTGTAGTTTCTGCTGAGATTAGTGGAACTGCGTCTAGTTGTAAAAACAGTGTATTTCAGTCTCTAATTCCTAGTAAAAGCAGCAGTAATAAGGATCCCTGGGGTCTCCATGCCCCGTGGTGCAGCTTTGGAGCACTGTCTTTGGCAGTTGAGCTACAAGTGCCTGTTGGTTTCCAGATTTTGACTATAGCTTGCTTGATTTTTCAATATGATCCTGGAATTTCCATTTTCCCTCTCTTGGGCCGATTCTCATGAATTTTTCTTGTCCCTGCCTTGCATGGAGTAGGACGTCTGGCAGGATGGAGTTTTTCCTGTGTAGATTGCAGAGGATTAATTCTGTTCTATTTGATAGAGGTGCACCTGTTGAGTCAGTTTCAGCTAATGTGTGCCCTTGTGTTTTTGCAGGAGCAAATGTGAACAGGACCACAGCGAACAACGATCACACAGTGTTGTCTCTGGCCTGTGCTGGAGGTCACTTAGCAGTGGTGGAGTTACTGCTCGCTCATGGTGCTGATCCCACACACAGACTCAAGGTTTGTCCCTCAGCTGCCTCATTTTCCTCTGAAACTGAGGATACCCAGCTGGGTTTTCTCCTTTTGTGTTCTCTACAACTCACCCAGCTTGTGATGATTTAAATGGAAGTTTCCACAAGCAGACGTTCTGCTCACGTACATATTGGAGTTAGTGCAGGTCTCTTGATCGTCATGAGTGTAAAGGCTGTCTTCCAGTTGTAAAGTGCTGATTGTGGAAGAGGAAAGAATTTTAAAACACTGTTTATTTAATTTGTTTCGGAAAATACTTCATCAAGTCTCTAAGTTAAGATGTGAACTTGTGGAGATGGAGGATTTACTAGAGCAGAAGGCAGTCACATAGGTAGTGTGTTGTGTGTCCCACAATGCTTCAGTGCTGTTTTCATGATGCCCTTTTCTAACTCTGTGATCTTTCCCTCTCAGGACGGATCGACCATGCTCATTGAGGCAGCCAAAGGCGGTCACACCAGCGTGGTTTGTTACCTTCTAGATTACCCAAACAACTTGCTTTCTGCTCCTCCGCCCGACGCCACTCAGCTGACCCCACCATCCCACGACCTGAACAGGGTAAGATGGCAGGGCTTTTTTGCACTTGCTTACTCGAGGGTTTAAAGGTGAGAGAAGAGTCAGTCATGTCATGTCATAAATTGTAGGTGAGCACACTAAAGTTACATAGAGCTGTAATGGAAATGGGGAAGACTTCTGAACATGATGATGTAGTGCTCTCATCATTCTCACTGTTCTCTAAGTATTGCTGGAAAAAACACTGAGGGTGGACAAAACCAGCAAGTGCAAAGATCTGCTTAAATGAAACTCTGCAGAATTGAATTTATGGCCCATTGTGGCTTGCATTTGCTGTACTACTGTACAGCACTGTACCATATAGTTCAGCAAGTAATTTTTTAGGTTGAAAATGCAAAGTATGTGGAGATGACATGATCTGCAGGTGTTAATTATTGAACTCAGCATATTAAATACTGTGTTGAATGTTCTTAGTCACCATTAAAGTCTACTTTTCTAACAGATTTTGTTTACCTTCTATTGAATTATAACTAGCACAGAGTATGAGAAAAGTAATCTGTTAGTATCCGATGTTTTAGGCTCCTCGAGTACCAGTGCAGGCGCTGCCCATGGTCGTCCCACCCCAGGAGCCTGATAAACCCCCTGCTAATGTCGCCACAACCCTTCCCATCAGAAATAAAGGTCAGTCATAGTTCTGCACCTTATTTTCTAAATATCCTTCCTAGGCAGAAGATAGAGTCTTGTGCTTGTAGCAGAGTAGTTCCTATGAAGAGTGTTTATGGATTCAGTCAAGGAAACTGCAATTATGATTTTTTAAATTTTTTTTAAGGATTTGCTTATCTACCAAGTATCAGTCATCTAACCCTGTAATCATAAAACGTCAAGAAATCTGCCTAAGTAAATATGTTAAAATCTCTAGTCTGACACACTGAACTAATGCAAAATATTACCCAGAAGTCAATAGAAATTGGATAATGGAAGTTGCAAAACCCATGTTAATCACCATATCATAGTTGATTTGGTAACTTGTGTTTCCTTAGGGTAGTAGTCTGGGATTGGGTTTGACTAATTGGATTGAAGGCGGAATTTCTTGTGCAGTAAAATCTTTAGTCTGATGTGGCTCAGGTCCTCCTAGGACTAAATTTGCATCTATTTTGCTCTTGCCATTTTGACAATGCTTTCTGTACTTAAGAATTCCAATTTTTATCAAGCATCAGCAGTAGCAAATGCAGGCGTGCATGTCCTAAAATTAATCCTGTGTGTACACTTGTATTGTTCTGGAGATACAGCGAGGATGGCTGGAAGAAACTGGGCACCTCCTCAGATCCTGAGTTTTGATTTGCCTTTCGCCCTTCAAAATTAACCGATTGTTGCTTCTCCACCTGGTATGGCAGAGCATGTCAGCTGTGTTACTGGGGACTTCTGCATAAAACACCAGTTGGATTAGTCCATCGCTTGTTCTTGCAGGAAGGCTGAAATATTTGCCTTGCCTGGACAGAGAGCTGAGCTTTGACACGGGCAAAATTGTGTCTGCTATGGATAAAACCCTAGTGGCTAAAGACACCCTGTTAGGTCCTGCTAAATCTAAATGACTGTCCTGGGTTCTGGCACTCCTTGTCACCTGAGCAAAGCTGGATACCTGGAGTGGAAGGATGCCTAGTTGTAGAGAGCGTAGCACTTGCTGAAGTGTACCAAGTCGGTTGCAAAACCGGTGGCCTAGTCCCAGTCCTAGAGATGTTTTTGTGTCTCTTGGGCTGCACTTACAGCCCTGAAAGCATATGTTTATGTCCCAGCACCACACCAGACGCAGAACACCAAGTAAAGAGACAGCATATCCTTGCTTTTTGTTCCCAGTTTTCTTGTAGCAGCACTCGGTAACAGCGGCTCGAGACAATCGCTTCCTTTGGCCAAAGCGTAACGATTGCTGGAGTAGACCTGTCACCGTAGCACAGGGCTATGTGGGATGCATGTGCACTAGTGTGGCCTGTTAAATTGCAATCCAGCTGCTGGGTGCCAGTTGGCAGGTGTCCTTGGAGGGCCTTCAGGACACGCTGGCCTCCTGTGGGTGCTGTGCCCTGGTGCGTAGCCAGCCACGCAGCGGCCCAGCAGTAGCTCTGTAATGAGGATGCCATTCGTATGCACTTCCTTTGGTTCTGAGGGGGTTTCTTTTTCACACAGCTGCTTCTAAACAAAAGTCCAGCAGTCATTTGCCAACAAACAACCAGGATGTACAGGGTTACATCACCAATCAGTCTCCAGAGAGCATTGTAGAAGAGGCTCAGGGCAAGTTGACAGAGCTGGAGCAGAGGATAAAAGAAGCCATAGAGAAGAACGCTCAGCTGCAGTCCCTGGAATTGGCACATGCTGACCAGCTCACCAAAGAGAAGATTGAGGAGCTGAACAAAACGAGAGAGGAGCAAATTCAGAAGAAACAAAAGATTTTGGAGGAACTGCAGAAAGTGGAGCGAGAGTTACAGCTGAAAACTCAGCAGCAGCTAAAAAAGCAATATCTAGAGGTAAAAGCGCAAAGAATTCAGCTCCAGCAGCAGCAGCAGCAACAGTCTTGCCAGCATCTGGGACTACTGACTCCCGTTGGGTTAGGAGAACAACTCTCAGAGGGAGACTATGCACGATTGCAGCAAGTGGACCCCATCTTGCTCAAAGATGACCCTCAGCAAGCTGCTGCGCAGACGAGTTTTGCACCAGTTCAGCCTCTGGCCATGCCACAAGCTTTGCCTCTGGCAGCAGGTTCCTTACCTCCAGGGTCCATCGCAAATCTTACAGAACTGCAAGGTGTTATAGTTGGACAGCCAGTGCTGGGCCAAGCACAACTAGCAGGGCTGGGGCAAGGAATACTGACAGAAACACAGCAAGGGTTAATGGTAGCCAGCCCTGCTCAGACGCTCAATGACACGCTGGATGACATCATGGCAGGTGGGTTTACATTGTTATGAGCAGGTATAATATTTGCTTGACCAGTTGAGGGTATGTCCACTTCTTTTTATATATATATATATGTGTGTGTGTGTGTTTGTGTATTCCCATGAGCTCTACGGCAAGCACCACTCGTCCTCTGATCCCTGTCTTGAGGAGTTGGGAAAACTAGCTTTTAACTTTCCAGTTTGCAGGGTGAGCTAAGCGGAGCCTCTTGGTCAGGTTGGTATGGTGGAGTGGCATTTTTAACTTGCCATAGTTGGGGGAGGGGTGTATTAGAGCTCATGTGGTAGTTCTGTTTTGGCCTAATTGTAGCTCGGGAGTAGCACCATGATGGTACTGGGTAGTACTTGGGGCTAGCTGAGAGCTGACTTGCAGTAGGCTGAGCAGCTGCAGCACCACAACTAGCCTATAAAATGTGAGGGACCTATGGGCTTGTCTTCAGAAGAGTTTATTGGAAGCTTTTATTTCTGCTTGGGAAAAAAAAGGTGATAGTCCTATGACCTTATGAAACATCTCCTCATAAAAATGGCTGCCAGCAGAAAACATGGCTAGCCGTACCAAATTCTTGTTATGCATGCAGAGAATTCTTTGCCCAGTGACATGAATGCTCTGAGGCCTTAAGCAGTAAAATAGGAGAATGAAGCAGGTTTTAAATGAGAGTTGTCACTGTTTTAGTTTACACCTCACCTAGTTGTGCTTTGTCTGAACCCTTTCTGTGCTAAAGCAGTCATTGAAATATCCCTTAGCTGAACACAGATGAACTGGTAGGACAGAGTCTTAAAAAAGGTCACTTGATGAAAAAGTACCAAAATGCTCTGGTTAAGCTGATGCACTGTCATTTTTACTGTCATTCTGAACAAGTCTGCTTTGCAGAGCTGTTAGCATGAGGGATGTGTGCCAGAGGAAGGTGTTAGCCCAGAGCTGGTCCTGCGTGTACTGCCAGAGCTGGAGCACAGTAGTAGTACAGAGTCAGTGGAGGAGGGTATGGTAACTGATGAAAACTACCAGGTGGTGATTTTTTAAAGCACTTGGAACACAACTTTTGAGGTGAGACACCTGATGAGTGACCATGTGTCCAAGCAAAGCTTCATTAAATGTGACAGAAACTTTTTTGCTGGAAATCTCGCGTTAGAATTGAAGCGTAGACGTAAAGATTGGAAGTTGATAAAACCACAAATGTATGCATGAAAAAGTAGATAAAACTACACATATCATGCACTAACAGTAATAGTTTCTCTCGTGGAACTGCTGGGGTACAGGACAACATGAATTTAAAAGCTGGGATGATTGCAGTTGTTGGTAACTTAGAATCTGTGCAATGCACTTGAGTTGTGTTTAAGTACAAGTTAACCCTGGACTTAGGACATTTGGGACATGTGTTTAGCTGCATGTCACATCTTGAGCAGGTGAGATTCCATGCCACCTACTACATAGCTGAATGCCTGTGCATGCCTTTTTAGACAGTCAGGTATTTCCAGTGTGAATATAAGGGAATATTTTGGTTCTGCTCAGCCCCACTTGTTAGTAGGTGTGTGCACACATGCAGTTGAGAAGGAAGTCTGAAATAGTTTTCTGTCAAGTTCTTGATGATAGTGTGTTTTTTTAAGCAAGAGCAGTCACAGGCTTGAGTCTAGATAGAACTTCAGTGCTAGCCTGTAGTGAGTCCACAAATCACAGTTTAATGTGGAGCTGAGATGGGCTCAGTGTAACACAGGACATTTATGTAGCCACCAAGTATTTGGTCAGTAACTCCATGTACTGCTTTAAGAAAAGATTTTAGCGTATTCTTACAGATTTAAATTCTTCTTTCTGAGGTGCCTTGTGTTTAGTTCCATTGCAGAGCTGTGTTTACAGAACCAGCTGCAGAAACAAAGCTTCACCTTGACTGTGCAGACTTGATTTTATGTGCATCTTTGTGCTAGATTAGTTGAAAACAATGGCTAAGTAGTAAATAATACTTAATTTTTTTCCTTTGGGCTCCTTTATGATCCTGCTGAAATTGAGGACAAAGTGGAAAGGTATGCTGTTGAGCTTCAGATGTTGGGCAAGTTTTTTGCTTGCTGTGGGGCTTGTAAAAAGAAATATTTTTTAGGATTAGTTATGTAAGGCTTATATGGAAACATTGCATCTGTTAAGTAGTGTGGTAAAGATCTAAAGAGAAAAACCACCTTGTTAATAGCAAGCTTTTTACAAAGTAGGAACTATTCCAAGGATTATGTCCAGTCACAGCTTCACAAAGAACTTCAGGAATCTTGAAGCACTTGATAAAATGCATTCCTGGAAGCTACCTCTTGGGTTGAGTCAGTTGGAAATGCAGCTGTCTAAATTAATACGTCGGAAAACAAGCTGTAAGCTTTTCACAGAGACTCAATACTGAAAAGAATAACAATAGAGTGCCAGCATCCCAGGCAAATCAGGTTGTGTCCCACCTGGGACCTGAGCAGGAGCTGGTTTCACGTGGTGCTGACCTGCCTTAGGCTTCTTGCACACCACCAAGACTGCAGGCATGAGTGGTTCTCAGGCTTCATCCATGGAGCCCTTCTTGCACAGCAGCAGTCCAGTGTTTGTGTTGGAATTCAGAACATAACTTGCACTGTTACAGTCTGAGGCATGTTCTGCATCTCAAGTGCTCTAGAGTGATGTTAATCCTGTGTGGCACAAACATGGTTTGTAATAACTGAGGATACTACAGAGAAATTGGGGGCAGAGAAGGAACTGATGTGGAACAGGACTGTAGAGCTGGCAAACCAGCTGGAAAAAGCTGAGACATCTCATACATTTCTTGTATTTTTTATTCCATCCCTCATCTTGCCTCATTGCTGTGTAACGTGGAACAGTTTTTATCTGTCTACTGTTGACATTACAGGAGGCAAGGAATCAGTGCATAAGGCCAATGCTGTGGCCACAAGAGCAGCACTTGTGGGACATGTGATGGCCACATGAGGAGAAGTGGGATTACAAGGGTGAAAGCCAAGGGCACGTCACTCTGGTGAGGCCAGTGGGCATGGGGGAGGAGGGAGCCGCTCTGAGGGTGTCCTCTCTTCATTCAAGCTAAAGAGAGAGTTGAGGTATGGACAGAAGGAAATCAAGATAAAGAGCAGGTCTGTTCCAAATATCAGTAAGCACAAAACTGATTGTATGCTAGCCCAGCAGATGTCCAGGACTGGAATTGGATTAGTCAGACGGTGCTTGGTGATGTTTTCTGACCAAGAAGCTTGACTAAGGTGTAGGTGGTCCTGTACCAAGTCATGTCTGTACTAAATATTCCAGTAGTGACCTAACTTGGAAGACTTGGTTATCCCAGGCATGAAATAATGATGTTTCCATGGTGAAGTACAGAATTGAGTTCAGTTGTCACTAGGCCATTAGAGTAGGGTAAGGAGCAGAGTGCAGAGATAAATATATGACTGTCAGTGTGTTTAGCATGTAGAATCAAGCTAGTTACTCCTCTCAGTGCTCCAGAGTGCTGTCTGGAGTGAAAACCTTTTGGGTTATTGAAAACTTTGAATATTTTACTTTGGGTGCTGTAAAAATTCTGTTCATCACCCCTGGCCTGTTCATTAGAAAACAGGTGATGTTGAAATAAATATAATCCAAGTGATTACCCATAAAAATGAATATTGTGTCCCAGCAGATTGTGCTGTAGGTATATGAACTAAATTTGTCAATTATTGCTCAAGCACATGTCTTGCTTTTTTGGGTTTGCTTGTTTTGTATTTGGTGGGGGGGAGTGATTGAATTTTTGTTTTTTTCTCCCTTCACTACAAATGTAAAAAGTAGACTTTACCTGAACTGAGACCTTCTTAATTAACTTGGGTTTTTTTTAGCCTTATAATTTACTAATGTCTCCTGTAATAGAGAAGATGCTTCCCAAGTCTCATTTTTGGGACTTGAGCAGGAATTCTTAGAAACTGTTTAAAACACGTGCAATTTTTGACCTTATGTCAAAATGTTTGGGCACATCTTCAGTATGTTAATTTTAATCAATACCTAGTGTGATTTGTGAGGTGAGTTTTCAAAAGGCACTCTAAGATCTAGATCAAGGGAGTTGAGAGTTCTAAATTCTGACTAAGAAGCTGAAGGTTCTTTGCTTCTCCTTGTGCCATTTATTAGCTGCTTTGCTGGGATTTTGTGTAGGAAATGCAGAAATTAAATCAGTTATGGATGTAAAGTACAGCTGCCTTGCAGAGGTGGGAGCACACAACTGGGCCTGTTAGGATCAGGTGTTGTGGCATCAGTTGGGAAACTGTTCCATTTTGCAGTTTAAAGTGCTTTTGTCAGCTGGACAGAAGTGTGTGGTGCTTCACCTTCTCCTTTGCTGTTACACCTCAGAAGCAGCTGGAGAAACACCGGAGAAGTGACAGGGGAAAAAAAAACAGTGAGTTCTTCTGAGGAAAAGTAGCAAAAAGGGTGTTTTCCCCAGCAGCTGCTTTAGACTCAAGTTTGCTGTGTGCTTCTAAGCGTGCCATGTACAGAATGAACTTCAGGGAGCGTGGCAGTCGCTGCTATCTGTGTCGTGTCCATGCACTGTTATCACTGTCAGTGGTGTTACCTTTGCTTACCTGACACCTTGACCAAACTCTCTGCAACCTGCTGTTACAAAGCTACCACTTCTCTGGTTTCAGCAAATTCTGCCATGTGGGCATCCCTGTTGCTTTTTTGTTATGTTTATGGGAGGTGGGGATGAAGGCTGGACAGACTTCTACATGAAAGCATTTAAACTGTTTTAAGAAAAATTGCATAGATTCCCATTGGTTGGACTTGTTCTGCAGCCCTGCTTCCAAAGGTACGGAGCTCCAGGTCCAAATAATGGCTGATTTGTTGTAGGAAAGATCTTTGGGTTAAAAAAAACCAACCAAACAAAACAAAATCTTATGGTGGGCTTTTAAAAAAACATGTCAGTTGATACTTAACTCTTTCTTTGATTGAATGCAGTAAACCTTTTTCATAGTTGAAATTGTAAGAGTTAAAGGATCAAAGGTTGGGCTCAGTGTGTGAGGAAAACAACAGCTTTTAAGGAGTTCCATCTGTCAGTGGGAATCAATCCCACTGTCCCTTTACTGTCACATTACACTTGGGAAGTGTTTTGCTGTAACTAAGTGTGGTTCTTCTGTCCAACAGCAGTGAGTGGAAGAGCATCTGCAATGTCAAACACTCCTACCCACAGCATTGCAACCTCAGTGTCCCAACCTCAGACTCCGACTCCGAGTCCCATCATTTCTCCTTCAGCCATGCTGCCCATCTACCCTGCTATAGACATCGATGCCCAGGTGAGCCTGCCACTCTCACAGATGCTCAAAGCTGTTTTTTCCTGCATCCTCAATAATTCAGTGGTGGCAAACAGCTCTGCTGTGTAATGGATTGGGGTCTGGGGACTGGATTTGCTGCTTTTAGAAAGCCAGAGCGACACCCCCGAGAGTCACAACCCACTTTCCTCTGTGCTCTTGCCGAACAAAAAAAAGGTCTCTGAATGACTAAACACTTGTAGTTCTTATTCCTTTGTTGTCAGTGGGATTGTGAGAAACAGCAGAGTTGCCTACTGACAGAAATGAAATGTTTTCTGGCCTGGTATCCTAAGACAAAAATAAGCCTTAAAGCATTGCACACAGAGTTTTTGGTTGTGCTTCCAAGTTACTGGCCAGAGATCATGGATGTATGAAAGTCTTGAAACTAATAATTGCTGTGATTTTTTTTTCCCAAGCTCTCATTTCCACTAAGGGAGAGGCTTTTCTGTATAAAAATAATTGTTAAAAGGGCAGCTTCATGTTGACTTGGAGCTAGCTGGCCATGAGCAAAAAGCATGCACATACTGACCAGCATATATCTATGCACCTCTGGGCTATACATAACATGATTGGGCAGCACGGAGTCGAGGAAAGGCATGAGATCATCATAGAGAAAAGGAGAGAAGCCTCTGGAAAATCAGCCCTTGCTGTTGAGTTGCTTGTGGCATTTGGCTTGGACTGTGCTGTGATAAAGCCTTTGGTTGAACTGGAGTGCTAAGAATTAAAGAGAGAATTCTTACCTTCATTGTACCATCCAAGGGTCACAGTCAGGCAGTGGTAAAGAAGTTATTGTGGTTAGCATAGCACAGATGAGAGCTCAGCTCTTGAAGAATCTTAGTTCTTGTCAGGATTTCTTCTTAAACCTCCCAGCAGAGCTGCCTTGAGAGGTAGAGTCCTGTCATGAACTTGCACACAACTGTTAAGGGGGAATCCATAAACATGCCCTTAGCTTATAGAATCTTTTTCCTTTGGCATGGGTACACTTATGTTTTGGCTATAAGAGGGGCTGTACATGAAAAAGCAAGTATTTATCTTGTGTGTATGTCTGTTTGGTTTAGACTGAGAGTAACCATGACACAGCCTTGACACTGGCTTGTGCTGGTGGCCATGAAGAACTGGTACAAACCCTGCTGGAGAGAGGAGCTAACATTGAGCACAGGGACAAGAAAGGTGGGTATCTCACAATGGCAGTATGAACCCTGTCTGCTTTGCCAGTGTGTGCCACTAAATAAACCCCCAGTAAGCCTAGACTTCATGTGACACCTTCAGGCTTGCTCTTCTGGTGCTGTAACTCGTGTCATGTTTTCTGTTGCAGGGTTTACTCCGCTTATTTTGGCTGCTACAGCCGGCCATGTGGGTGTTGTGGAAATCTTACTGGATAACGGAGCTGATATTGAAGCCCAGTCTGAGAGAACCAAGGACACTCCCTTGTCTTTGGCTTGTTCAGGAGGGAGGCAAGAGGTGAAGTAAACCTTAAATCTTGAGAAGCAGTGTGTGAATGACATATTGTGTCAGCACAGTACAAGAATCTTCCAGAAAAGACACAGTCACACAGGATACATGTTCAAAAAACATGCAAAGAGCTTCACATTTTGCAATTTACACATTACAACATGTCTCATCTAGACTGCTTTTTCTCTTTTGATAACTGGACTGGTGCTGTGCAGGTGTCCTCGTGAATGCAGTCGTTAGTGCCCCATTATGGGACTTCTACCAGCATTCATTTCATATCTACATCTAATTATGCCATCATGAGTATTCTTGCTGCAAATCAGGATTTAGACACAAATGGGTTCCATATATGAGCCTTATCATAGTTTTTGGGGGAAAAAAATGGGAAAAGGCTGGGCTTTGGGCAGCAGAGATGATGTCAGAACACCTTCCTGCCCAAATTTTGGGTTTGTCAGTATGTTTGTTCTGTGATTTCATGGGAAAACATTCTGATTGAGAATTGTGCAGGTCTGAGCTAAACTTTTTTAATGCTTAAACCTGAAAGTGAAGCAAGTTTAACACTGCGCTGGAAGGGACACCATAGGTTTTCACCTTGGTGTACACTGTGATTTTAAGTTGCTGGACAGTTCAGTTTCTAGTCAAGTTTCCTCTCCTCTGCAGGAGAGGACAAAAAGCAGGAGTACTCTGTACACCATATTGAAACTGAATCTCTGGGTCTGGCAGGCTTTAAAGATGGCTGAAATCATCATGAGGATACCTGTTTTTTCTTATTCTGCTGTTGAATTCGGTACACTCATGAGCAGCCATGATAGATTTTTTTTTAAAGGGAAGTTTTAGAGTGGCTTTGAGATCACAGGTGTGGCATCATCTGGTCATGAGGGCAAGGAGTGTAGCAAAGCAACTGATCAAAGCGGCTTTCTTACCACTGACATCTTCCAACAGAACATTTAGGTCTAAAAAGCATTTGTCTTGGCTAGATTTACAAGTCTGGGAGAAAACCAGATGTTATTTGTTGAAACACTGCAGGTGGTGGAGTTGCTGCTAGCTCGAGGGGCAAACAAGGAGCACAGGAATGTGTCTGATTACACACCTTTGAGCCTCGCCGCCTCAGGTGGCTACGTGAACATTATCAAGATTCTGCTGAATGCTGGGGCAGAAATCAATTCCAGGCAAGTTCCCTTTACAGCCCTTATCTCCTGTGCTTGGTTGTGAGTTACGTGAGGAAAGTGTGTGTGTTTTCCCTGCATGGTTTTCTCTCTGTGTGTGCATTTGTGCCATGCTTTTGCATCCATTGGGAGGTAGAAAACAGCTCAGGTGTGAGCTGCACAGGTACAAGGAAGGGGCCAAGGGCAGGCAATAAGTTATAAGCACACCTCACAAGAGATGCCCTCAATTTGAAGCCATCAAAAAGGAAAAGTGGAGACTCTAAGTAGAAACACTTGTCCTGAACCATGCTGCTGTGGAGAACCTTTTGTAGGTTCGCTAGAAGTTGGTATGCAGCTGATTTTTCAGTCTTGTGTAAGTACTTTGCCTTCATTAGTTTATTATAGTCACATTTCTGAAATTACCATTAAAACAGTTTTCCTTCTTTTTTTCTTCTCTTTCAGAACTGGTAGCAAATTGGGTATTTCTCCCTTGATGCTGGCAGCCATGAATGGGCACACTGCTGCTGTCAAGCTGTTACTGGACATGGGCTCTGATATAAATGCCCAGATCGAGACCAACAGGAATACAGCTCTGACTCTGGCCTGTTTCCAAGGAAGAAATGAGGTGGTCAGCCTGCTGCTTGATAGAAAAGCTAACGTGGAACACAGAGCCAAGGTAAAGAGCAAACAGCTGGAGGGGTCTCCAGAAGGAGATGACTTGTAAGTCATTGTGGCTGTGTTGTTGCCTGATTTCCTTGCCTTTGTGGAAGTCAACTTGTCTAGTTCAGTTCTCTAGTCCAGTTAACTGAACTGAACCAGATACCACATAGAAAAAAAATGGCTGCATTTAAGGGCTGAGATTTTGGTGGTAGCAAACCTCATCAAAAAATATGTTTCTTCAAGAAAGCGTTGACTCATCCTGAGGCACTTACAAGTGTAAGGACAGTAACCCATTGTGTTTGTGAGTCAGATAAACACTGTGTCTCAGGTAAGCCACTCCCTGTGCTGATGGTTTCTCTCTCCTGCTTGCTCCTCCCAGACTGGTCTCACACCGTTAATGGAAGCAGCTTCTGGGGGATACGCAGAAGTGGGCAGGGTCCTGCTGGACAAAGGTGCCGATGTCAACGCTCCCCCAGTACCTTCATCCAGAGACACAGCTTTAACCATTGCAGCAGACAAAGGGCACTACAAGTTCTGTGAGCTCCTCATCAGCAGGTACGATGTTGGCAAGTGAGCAGCTTACAGGAAAAGGTGGCTGTGTTTAAGGTTCATTTTCCCAATATACAATAATATTTCCAAATAGCCAGTAAAGGGTCAGGAAATGGGAAAGGTTCTGTGTGTCTGTTGACTTCTGTCACATAATTTCATTTATCCCAAGGACTCAAATCAAGTTCTTCTTGGGGTCAGAGTGCTTCCTTTTGCCTAAATGCAGGGTTTTGATGGAGTGTGTTTGGTTTTGTAGGGGAGCTCACATCGATGTGCGGAACAAGAAGGGGAATACTCCACTGTGGCTGGCAGCAAATGGGGGGCATCTTGATGTTGTCCAGCTGCTGGTCCAGGCTGGAGCTGATGTGGATGCAGCTGATAACAGGAAAATAACTCCTCTCATGGCAGCCTTCCGCAAGGTAGATTGTGAAGTTGAGCTTGGCTCTTAGCTAGGATTGTCCTGCTCATCCCTCCCTAGCTGTTAGAAGTAGAACATACTGACAGAGGCTACATATTTAATAATATCTCAGTTAATTTGAGTACTTGGCATTGAATCTTCAGAAACAGATACATGCGTCACCTGTGTAATATCTGTGTTCAATTCTAATTGCAATTTGTTTTATAGGCAGTGTAGCGAGTCTGGTTCTGGTGTGTGTGAGGGGTGAAATTTGCAGTGTGTTTCTGTGTGATAGAACTAGGGGGAAATAGGATTGGTTCCTTATGCAAGAGAAGGTGAGGACTTCGGTCAAAAAAATGCAGTTTAGGCTGATTTGAGTCTACAGATGATTTCTGTTAGTAAGGGAGTATAGTTGAGGTGTTGGAGTACTGGAAAAAATTGCAGATGACTGCAGAAGCCTGTAGCTCTTAAGCTGTTAGAGATGGGCATCTGAAAACTGCCCCAAAAAAGGCAGAAGTTTGTGCAAGTACTTCTGGAGTAAGGGCAACCTGACCAGAGGTTATGACTTACCTTCTCTGGTGGCAAAAATGTGCAGAAATGTGCCTCACTAGTTCAGAAGGTGAGAAGGATCTCAAAAAAAAGTGTTGAGAGCTTCATGTGGTGAGGAGCTGCAAATAAATATTTTTCAAGGAGTGCTGGGGCTGAAGTGTTTCTCAGTGAGCCAGAGGCAGCTGGTCTGACAGAAATTGTTGTCCTTGGAATTTGTTTGGCAGGGTCATGTGAAAGTGGTGCGTTACCTGGTGAAAGAGGTGAACCAGTTCCCATCAGACTCGGAGTGCATGAGATACATAGCAACCATCACTGATAAGGTAAGGTGGGGACAAGGAAACACTTGAGGAGGGGCAGTGTTGTGTCTCAGCCTTAGAGACAGTGATATGGCATCTCTTCAGCTCATTGGCCACCAGCTTTTGGCCAGAGCATGAGTCCCATTGGGATTTTTGAGGGAAAACGGCAGGAAATGAGAACACATGGCACTTTGTTCTCAATGTTCTTTGTCATTTCAGGAGATGCTGAAGAAGTGCCACCTGTGCATGGAGTCAATTGTTCAAGCCAAAGATAGACAGGCTGCAGAAGCCAATAAAAATGCAAGCATTCTGCTAGAGGAACTGGACTTGGAGAAGGCAAGTGGAAAGAGTTGCATCTGGGAATATTTGTCTCTTAAAATTTCAGTTTCACCTTCCTTCAAGATGATAAGGTCAGTAAAAGTAGTTATTGGGGTATAGGAGTGTGTGTAATCACTATAACTGGAGTGTCCAGAGCGCAGAGCATCTTGCTGTTCAGGTAATCTTTGGACTTTGCTATTATTCAGAGACATTGGATCAGGAAATGCCAATGTAACTATTTCCTCTGTACGGAAAGAAGGATTTCTGAATATGGTTTGTCAAAAAAACTGTGTGGCATTTTCTAGTCATACTCATGGATTTTAGGTCTAAACCAAATTTTATGTCCTAAATATTAAAGAAAACTAATTTACTAAAAACCATAGTACTGTAGTAGAAATAAAACATAAAATCAAAGGAAATAAAAAGCATTTGGATTTCTTGAAATGCATCTTGTAATGCTGTTCCATGTGCTTGACTTGTAGCTAAGGGAAGAAAGTAGGAGACTGGCTCTGGCTGCCAAAAGAGAGAAGAGAAAAGAGAAAAGGAGGAAGAAAAAAGAAGAACAAAGGCGAAAACTAGAAGAAATAGAAGCAAAAAATAAAGAGAATTTCGAACTTCAAGCTGCTCAGGAGAAGGAGAAGTTAAAAGCTGAAGGTGATTACTGCAATTATTCCAAGAAAAGAATGAAATTCAGTGTGAGCTGATATGATATCTGTAATAGGTTTATGGATGTCTCATAGTCAAGGGTTTTGTGTCTTTCTTGGAGCTTTGCAAAAAAGTTAGTCCTAAAGTTTTTTGATAGGACAGGTGTGACTTAGAAAGCAAAACACCCGGGCTTCCTCAAGCCAGCTAAGTTACTCCTGCTTTTTCTTTCCTCTTCTCCCAGATGATCCAGAGGTCCCAATGGAGCCTCCCAGTGCTACCACCACCACCACCATAGGTATATCTGCAACCTGGACAACGTTGGCAGGCTCTCATGGGAAGAGGAATAACACCATCACCACAACGAGCTCCAAGAGGAAAAACAGGAAGAACAAAGTAACCCCCGATAATGTTCAGATTATATTTGATGACCAGCTTCCCATTTCCTATAGCCAACCAGAGAAGGTGAACGGGGAATCCAAGAGCAGCAGCACTAGCGAGAGTGGTGACAGTGACAATATGAGGATCTCCAGCTGCAGTGATGAGAGCAGCAATAGCAACAGCAGCCACAAGAGTGACAATCATTCCTCCACAGCTGTCACTAACACACAGAGCAACAAAAAGCAACCGTCGGTGCTTGTCACTTGCCCAAAGGATGAGAGGAAAGCAGTGCCTGGCAAGTCATCCATCAAGTGAGTTCCTGTGACCATGCATGCCAAGTGCAAGTCATCCTTTTTTTCTCCCCCACGTAACGACAGCATTTAATTCTTTTTGCAGGTTGTCTGAAGTTATTAATGAAGTGACAAGTAATTCCTTGTCTACTTGCACGAAATCTGCTCCTTCTCCCCTTTCTTCTCCAAATGGAAAGCTAACCATTGCTAGTCCTAAACGTGGTCAGAAAAGGGAAGAAGGTTGGAAGGAAGTTGTGAGAAGGTAAGCAGAGTAATTCCCCTCATTCCCTTTGATGTTGTCCTTTGTGTAGCCTTCCTTGGAGTTACTGAATTACCTTCTTAGTGGGTTTGAGATCTCACAAAGCTGCTGCTGCGTAGTTTGAAACAGAAAATACAGTGTTCTTTTGACCAGCCTGCCCACAGCTTCTTGCCATGGAAGTTTTTCCTATTTAATATTGATTATTTTTTGTGTAGATCCAAGAAGGTTTCTGTCCCATCAAATGTGATTTCCAGAGTTATTGGCAGAGGAGGATGTAACATCAACGCGATCCGGGAGTGCACGGGAGCGCATATAGACATTGACAAACAGAAGGATAAAACTGGAGACCGAATCATCACAATTAGGTGGGTGAGCAGGATCCTGCATTGGCTCCGTCCTGTGGATATTTTCTCCTTGTAGAATGTCGGTCTGCCTAGGAAAATTAAAAGCTTGATCTGGTTGTTCCTTGGAAGATCCCTTGAAAGCAGGGGAGATTGTACTCTGTTTCCAATCCCATCAATCACCAGCAGGTACAAAAGACAGCTTGTGAGATGAGGTGAAACATAAATTGTGGGATTCTGCGTTTGGGCGTGTTAATTCATGGTGAAATATGAAAGAATAGTTAGGGAAGCAAATATTTTATCCATTTGAGTTTTTTGGAGTTTGGAGTATTCAACTTGAACTTCTTGAGTAATCGTCTGCAGCAGGACTGTTCCAAGCTCAGTTTTTGAATAGAGAATTATTTTCAGTTTTTGAATAGAGTTATTTTCCTGTTTGTGTTAGGGTGATAGCAGATAGCCCTCCTGTGTGGGAGGGCTTTGGCTATAACGTGTGTAAATGCTTTAGATGCACTTTCCCTGTCCTTCCTTTTTGTAGGGGTGGCACAGAATCAACCAGACAGGCCACGCAGTTGATCAATGCTCTGATTAAGGATCCAGACAAGGAAATCGATGAACTTATTCCAAAGAACCGTTTGAAAAGTTCAACTGTAAACTCCAAGATAGGGTCCTCGACACCTGCCACCACTACAGCTGCTAACAGTTCTCTCGTGGGCATCAAAGTGACCACCGTAGCTGCTTCGTCGACATCTCAGACCGCCTCCGCGCTCGCCGTGCCTGCAATCTCCTCAGCCTCCACTCACAAAAGCATTAAGAACCCCGTGAACAACGTGCGGCCTGGCTTCCAGGTTTCTCTCCCGCTGGCATATCCTCCTCCGCAGTTTGCACACGCGCTCCTCGCCGCTCAGACGTTCCAGCAGATCCGTCCGCCGCGGCTGCCCATGACGCACTTCGGAGGTACCTTCCCACCAGCCCAGTCCACGTGGGGCCCGTTTCCCGTCAGGCCGCTGAGCCCCGCCCGAGCTACGAACTCGCCGAAACCTCACATGGTGCCTCGCCACAACAGCCAGAGCAGCAGCGGTTCTCAGGTGAATTCAGCAAGCTCTTTGACGACGAGTCCCACGGCAACGACCACTTCGGTGGCTTCTACTGTGCCTGGATCTTCGGCGAGCGGCAACCCGAGCTCCCCTTCGGTCCGGAGGCAGCTGTTTGTCACGGTGGTGAAGACGTCCAACGCCACCACCACCACCGTGACCACCACGGCGAGCAACACGAGCACGGCGCCCACCAACACCACGTATCCGACTCCTACTGCCAAAGAACACTACCCCGCATCTTCCCCCTCATCTCCCTCTCCTCCCGCGCAGCCAGCGGGCGTCTCCAGGAGCAGTCCTCCCGACTGCACCGCAGCCTCTCCCAACAAAGGTGCGCCTCCGTCTGAGCCAGACGCAGGGAGCCCACCCACCGTGGATGCGGGCGGCTCGACCAGCAGCAGGCAGCCCAATCCTGGGACCAGCAGCTCCTCCGTGCATCCTGCTCATCAGCAGCCCCCGGGAGCTCCTCTGCCAGAGGCCAGGCCCCCTCTCCAGCAACCTCAGGTTCCTGCACCAGATCCTCGCATGGTTGTGCCTCCAAATTTAGCGGCGACGAGCTCATCCGCTCCAGTGGTAGGCGCGAGCAATGCTCCCATGACCTACCCCGTGTCCCAGCCGGCCATGGGGTCTGCTCAGCCCGCAGCCAAGATGGAAACCCCAGCCATCAGACCGCCTGTCCATGGGACCGGCAGCGTCCCCAAGAACCCAGCTCCTGTGCAAAACTCCTCCGTCGCAGTCCTCAACGTTAACCACATCAAACGGCCCCACAGCGTTCCTTCTTCAGTGCAGCTTCCTTCTACCTTAAGTACACAAAGTGCTTCTCAGAATTCGGCCCACCCGGCGAGCAAGCCCATGGGGAACAACTTCAGTGCTACCCTGCCCTTTGGGCCCTTTAGTACGTTGTTCGAGAACAGCCCCACGTCCGCTCATGCCTTCTGGGGTGGGTCCGTCGTGTCCTCTCAGACAACACCAGAATCCATGCTCTCAGCTAAGTCCTCATTTTTGCCAAATTCAGATCCGTTACATCAGTCTGACACTTCCAAAGCCCCAGGTTTTAGGCCACCGTTGCAGAGGCCAGCTCCAAGTCCCTCAGGTAAGCCTCTGCTTGTGTCCATTCCATAATAATACGGTTTATTCCTGTGTTTTTTAAGCCAAGTGGAGTTCATTTTAAGTGCTCTGTCAAATGTAGTAGCTGTTTGGCAGCTGCTGGGCTTGGTAAAATAGGGATTTTTAGCTGAGATGATAAAACACTCTTATTTCCACCTCCCTTCCATACCGGATAGTGACTGTTCCAGTTTGTGATACCTTGTCCTGAGGCTGCAGGAAAATGTGCAGCATCTTCCAAGGGCTAGGGTGGTAAAAAAGTGGCGTTTTAATATGAATTTGTAGCTTAAAGGAGGTGTGTTCTCTTAATTACTAAATTTGATTCATAAAATGTAATTTCCTTGACTGCCTGCATTTTTTAGTGAGATGTTTTGTGTTCTGCCCAAAACAAAGGCCAGGGCGTTGTCACAGAACCTGTTATGTAGCTTCCAGAAAGTACATAGATGGTTTGGACCATCTCTGCCTGTTTTTGTAGGCCCCTGAGGTGCTAATGGATTGAGAGTTAAAACAACACTTTCTTTCCTATTTTGTGAATATGATGGTGTTGAGTTTTTTCATCTTGACATACTAGTCAGCATTTTGTGTGCCCCTAAGATAGACAAATACATAAGTCTTAGGATCCCTAAGATTTTATTTTTCCCTTTCTTTGTTGAAGTAGACATGAAGGGAGCAGTAATTGTTGTATTTTGAGTATCTTTGCTAATTGGTGGCATTTGATGTTAAGGAAATAAGAATCATCCTTGATTTAGGTGTACAGCACAACTGCCACATGCTGAGTAGACTTGCAGAGTGTGAAGCTTAATGCTCCAGTTTCCTTTGGAAAATTGTGACACACGTCCCCAAAGATGGACTGGATAAAAGCTTTCCTTTCTCTTTCGATGATACCGGCGACCTCTTGCTGGAGTGTTGGAGATGTGGGAGTCACTTGTGCCCTTTTTCTCTCGTAGGTATTGTCAGTATGGATTCTCCCTATGCTTCTGTAACACCTTCTTCGACACACCTGGGGACCTTTGCCTCGAACCTGTCGGGAGGGCAGATCTACGCGCCCGGGACGCCGCTGGGCGGAGCGCCTGCAGCTGCTAATTTTAACAGACAGCATTTTTCCCCTCTTAGTTTATTGCCTCCATGTTCATCAGCATCAAATGGTGAGTTCTGGTCAGCAGGGAACTGCTGAGAAGCTGCTGTATAAATAAAGTTGTCCGGCAGAACTGCGTGAGGAGTTCCAGGAGAAAATCCTTAGGGCAGGTTCTGGTACCTTCCTCTACCTTTGGCCCCTGCAGTTAGGAGTTTTTTTGACAAATAAACTGTGGAGTGCTGGCTTATTTAGGGAACGTGTTAATCTGTTTTATTGACAAAAACAATGGCAAAAAAGCCTCAGGGAACAAATCAAAAAGAAGAAGAAAAAACAAACCCAGCAAAGACATGGGTTTATGTGGGCTTATTTCAGCTCTGGTTTAGGATATAATCCTCCACTCTTCTGTTGCTGATGGACAGTGATGCTTAGTTAAGATTTTGTGGTGTGTGTCCTCCAGTGGCTGAGCTACCAGAGTGTGATAAGCATTTTATATGAGGGGCTAAATCAGTGGTGAATATCTCTGTGATCTGGAAATGATCCTGAGGTGGATGAATGTGGCATTAACTAGCTCCTCATTGTCAGTTGTTGGTTTGTGTGATCTGGCTGCCGTCACCAAATGCTCCTGTTGTTCTCCTTGCAGAATCTCCTGCTCAGTCCGTGTCCTCTGGAGTACGAGCACCCTCTCCCACCCCTTCAGCAGTGTCCTTGGGATCAGAAAAACCCAGTAACGTTTCTCAGGACAGAAAAGTTCCTGTTCCCATTGGGACTGAACGGTCTGCACGCATTAGACAAACTGGAACGTCTACTCCTTCTGTAATTGGGAGCAACTTGGCTGCTCCTGTGGGACACAGTGGGATCTGGTCCTTCGAAGGTATAGGTGGCAGTCAAGGTATGTGGTGTTCATAGGTGCACTTGAGTTGATCACACCATTGTGTTTGCCAAACTTGTCTTCAGCACGGGAGCATGCAGAAGTGAGTGCCTGAAAACACAGACATCTTCTTTGCAGAGGGTTTGGAACAAGGAGTTCTCGTAGCCTTCCTGTCCACTTAATTGTTTGAACAAGGTTTCTGAAACCCTCAGGGGTTCTGAAATGTCCTGGCTGTGAAGATTAGGTACTCCCAAGTAGGAGCAGGAAAAATAAAAACAGGCCTTCCAGGCATGAACACAGTGAGGATCATTGAATTGAGGAGGAGGGGAAATTAAGGTGTCACAAGATAACTGTCTGGAGTTTCTTGCTGACAGAGAGGTTGTTTGTATGGTAGGAGTTAATATTTGATTTGTAGCTAAGGTAGAACTTTTTGTGCTGAGGATGGTGCTTTTATAAAGTGATAAAACTCCACATTAGGGGTTCCTTTATTCTTTTCAACCTTCTTTTAGCACAAGGCTCTTGGCTCTCCTGGATTCACATAAAATTTAGTACTTCATAGTCTTTAACAATTTCAGTTAGCGATCCTACAGCTTTTCTTACCAAACTTGTCAGGAGTCTTGGATGCACTTTCTGGGAGACTGATCAGCTTTTCCACATTGATTGAGGTTGTTTGTGGGGAGTTGTCTTTTTAATTTCTTCAGCATTTTTTTGCTTGGGATGGGGGCTATGAATATTGAGACTGTGTTGGATTGGACCTCTGGATGTCCTGTCAGCCTTCTGCACAAAATGGGCTTTGCCATGAGTTCTGCCCATATTGCTCAGGGCTTTATCCACTCTGCTCTGGAAAACCCTGCAAGGATTGGAAATGCTCCACTGTTCAGAGCAATCTGTTCTGCTCCCTGACTGAGTCCACCCAGCTGAAGGTTTTAACTGACTGACTGTGCTGGAATTTCTCCCCAAATACAAACCCTTTTTTTACTTCACTAGTGGTCTTTTCCCAGATAAAGCTTTAGAAATTCACTATTTATTTGCATTGTGTGGCTGTAAAAGTTGTCCTTTGTGCCTGTCTTGGCTTTTGGGATGCTGCTTTCTTTCTGCTTTGGTCGATGACTTCAACATTTTGATTTTCAGTTCACACTGGGATTGGCTCTTCTCTACTTGAGTACTGGGGAGCCTCAGAAATGCTTCTGTTGCCCTTCTCCAAATAATTTTTTTTTCATGTTTTGTTTTGAAAATTGGATTTTTGAATGTCTGGGGTTTGAACTGTAGCACCAATACCAAGCTGCCTCTGATGAATTCACAGAATCAGGACACGAGCCCATAGCTGCAGCAGGTCATTCTCTGGTTTTGGTTTGCTTGAATACTTCTGTGTCCCTTAGAATATGAAGTAATTCATGGAGGAATGGTAGTGAAGTAGAGCAGATAGTCTTAATAGTGTACATACCGTTTCCACAGCACCAAAGGCACGAGGAATTGAGGTTTTTGGAGGAGGGAGAGTTAGCCCAAATTCCAGCTTTGCTGTTGAAATGGAGGAAAGTTGCAGGGGCAATGCTCTGGTTGCAGGTAACCATCCCAAACTCGTGGCAGTGGCTCAGGGTTGGTGGCACTCGTGGTGTTGTTCCTCCATCCATCCCTCCACGTGTGCTGTGTGCTCCGGAGCGGAGGCGCGGGCGGGGCCAAGCGCTGCGGGCGGGGAGCCGCGGGTGACGCTGTGTCTCTGTGCTAGCAGATAAAGTGGACTGGTGTCACAGCGGCATGGGCAGCCACATGATCCACAGGCCCATGTCTGACCCAGGCGTCTTCTCGCACCAAACCATGGAGAGAGACAGCACGGGAATCGTAGCGCCTTCCGGTACATTCCATCAGCCCGTCCCTGCAGGATACATGGACTTCCCAAAAGTCGGGGTAATGACCTCCTTGGCCCCCCTGTGCAGCGGGAATCCCCTCTTGTCCTTCTGTCCGTGCAGTGGCATTCCTGGAAGCGCCCTGACTGTTCTTTTCCTTCCCCTCAGGGAATGCCTTTTTCTGTGTATGGGAACGCCATAATTCCTCCCATAGCCCCCATCACAGATGGTACTGGAGGCCCCATCTTTAACGGGCCTCATGCTGCTGACCCATCTTGGAACTCGCTGATAAAGATGGTTTCAAATTCCACAGAAAACAACGGGCCTCAGACGGTAATTGCTCTGATGTTTTGCACTGTGTATTTAACTGGAAATGTATCGTGACTCCTGTCTGTGCAGTTAGGCATTTGGGAAAAGAAATCTTGGGGCAAAATGTCATAGTAAAAGCCAGTTTATGTGCTCTTAGTTAAGCTTTCTTTTCCCAATGAGGGAACACAGCAACAGGGCTGCTGCTGGGCTGTGTAGTTGAGGATTTTGTGACTGTGTTAGAGCATCCCAAGGAAGGGAGTTAGTAGCTCTTTGCTGCTCTGATCTTGCCTGGCTTGTCCACTCAATATAATTTAGGCAGAGGGATTAATTCCCTTAAACCTGTTGTTCGTACTCAGGAACTAATACTATAATGGAACATCAGTAGCTCTGTGATTATTTTTTATTGGACAGTGATCCCTGGTACACTGTTACCAAATAAAGATGTTTCTGAGCTTAATTTGTTTGGGAATGATGCAAGCTGTGGGGGGCAGCTCCCAGCCCTGGTAGACCATAGGTGCAACGGAGAGGGGGTTTGCCCACAGTTCAGGTACTGCTCTGAGGTAGCTTCTTGTCCCTGCAGGGTGATTTCTGGTTTCATGACAAACTTGTCCCCCAAAGAAAGCTTCACTGGGTTAGACCTGGGTTTCCCCAGAAGTGAAGGTCTTAGGGGAAAATAATGTAGCAGGAATCAAGTTCTTGTTTGTCTGAATTCAAGATCAAGAAGAGAGCACACACATCCCGTGCTCTGGGCGTGGAGGGATTTGGGAGCTGGGCTGGGAAATCATTTGCTGCACAGCCAGAGCCCTGTGAATTGTGCTGGACAGGAAAATCCATGAGCCCTGCAGCGTGCTCTGGGCCGTGCCATCCTGGAGTACGGTGCTAAGGCGGATTTCTCTTGCAGGTGTGGACTGGAACCTGGACACCTCACATGAACAGTGTGCATATGAACCAACTGGGCTGAGTGGGATCAACGTGCTGGCCTTGAGATTCCTTTTTTTGCAGAGGAAACCACAATTGGCAGAAACAGTTTATGTGCTCCCAGATCATTCTACTGATGTGCTTGACTGAAGTGTGTAGGCTTTTTGCAGAAGAACTTACTAACTGACCTTTTTCTGTGAACATTGTGACCGCCCATTCCCCACCATCATATGTTTCAACTTAGTTAGACTTTCTTCTTTCCTTTCCTCCTTTTTTTTTTTTTTTGACATAACTTTCTGTTGAAGCTGTTCTTTGGCTGGTTGGTTTTAGTACTGTAAACTGCTTCTGAGCAAACACAGAAATTTAGCAAAATTATGTAAACTTGATCCTGAAGTTTTAGAATGGCAAATAAATGTACAATTGTTTACATAACAAATGGCTAAGCAGAAAGTAAATTTCAATATGTCAGTTATAGAGGCTCTACTTTATGTAGACTTAAATTAATGTGAGATATGTACCTTCATATTCAGAAATCTGGATGTTTCCTTCATACATTAAACTATTAATAAGCATAACTTTTCTACTTGTGTAATTTAAGTAAGTTATAAAAACACCCCAGGCATTATTAAATTAATGTTTGACATTTGAGGAGAGCTTCCCTGCTGAAGGCTCCAGAGGCAGGTCTCTTCCAGAATCAGGCCCATGAAGGTTTGTTTGGAAGAGTCCAAGTGGGAATTCCCATGTACATTGTCGGGAGCTGTCACCTGTGGGCAGAGGTAGCAGGAGATGGAGGGTGGGTCCTGTGAGGCCAGGCTGGGTGAGCAGTGACACAGTTCCAGTCAGGATCCCTGTACAGTTCCCTTACAGAGCACTTAAAGGAGATCTACATCTCAGATTTAAAAGAAGTATTACTTGGTTTTATTGTGGTTCCTCCTTTGAAAACCAAGCAAACACCTCAGCTGGCCGTAGAAACTACTGCCTTTTAACTGTTGTGATATTTGAGGTGTCCTCAAACTTTTTGCATACCCAAGGCCATATACCTGCCTTTAGGTGCTGCTCTGAATAAAAGCAAATTCCTTTTTCCAGCAGTCTGATCTCCTGAAATACATCCTGTGAAGAGCTGGTGGTAGCAAAATGGATCCCAAAGCGGGGAACTGCTCAGAAGAAGGTTTGAAACTCCATCTCACAGCTTATCAGGGTGTGGGTGAGCGCCCTTCCCCTCTGCTGCTGCAGTCATTTGCTGCAGGCTTCAGTGCTGTTTAGGGTTACTAATTATTAATCCTACTGAGACATAGTGCTCAGTGTTCATTAGCACCATGAATTCCAGAGTATTGTGTTGATCTGACAGTTTAATCCATGCCTGGGGCAGTAACAGCCCTGATGGCACCACTGTGGCAGTGGGCTGGGCACGGGAGATCCTGGGTGGGGGGAATGGGAGCATTTTTATTCCCAGATACTTCCCCCTGATGTAAAGTTTTTTATTTGTCCAGTAAACCAAGGAATGTACTCCTTTGGAAGCGGGCAGGTGCTGTTTGTTTGGGAAAAGGGAGCAGAACCAGGGTTATGAACAGGGAGAGGAAGAGAGTGCAGTGTATGGTCTGAGGGGCATTTTGACCTCTCCTTGCCACAGAAGGGCTGAGGAGACAGGTCAGAACCTGGCTGGGCAGCAGAACGCTGCCAGTGTGGAATGATAAAGCACTTGGTAATGATGAATTACTCCAGAATATCATCTTCAGGCCTGAGGGAGTTGGGGCCGTCCAGCCTGGAGAAGGGAAGGTTGTGTGCGTTCCTCACAGCAGCCCTCCAGTACCTGAAGGGGCCCAAGAGGCACTCCTTGCCAGGAACTCCAGAGATATGACAACAAGTAATGGGTACAAATGGAAAAAGGGGGAATTTAGGCTAGCTACTGGGAGGAAATATTTACTGTTAAGAGGGGTGAGACAGTGACCCAAAGCTGGTTTGGACAACACTCCCAGGGGATGCCCGGTGTAGGGCCTGGTGTCGGACTCCGTGGTCCTCGTGGTTCCTTTCCAACTCGGCGCGCTCTGTGATGTGGCGGGCGGTGTCCCTGCCCGTAGCAGGAGGGCGCTGGCACCGTTCCCAGCCCCGTGCAGCCAGGTTCCGACACATGGCGCCGTGAGGCGCTGCCCTTCCCCTGCCCTCAGCCGCCATGGCGGCCGCGGGGCGGTGCGCCGCGGTGGCGCGCGGACGGCGCATGCGCTCCGGCAGTGGCCCGTGCACTGGGCCGAGGGCGGGCTGGCGGCGCTGCAGGAGGCCACCGGGCTGCCCTGCTGGGCCGCCATCGCCGGCGGGGCCGCCTTGCTGCGCACCGCCGTGACCCTGCCGCTGGCCGCGCAGCAGGGGCGGCTGCTCGCCAAGGTGGGAGCGCTGAGGGGCTCTGAGGGAAGGGCCGGGCCGGGGCTGAGGGGCCGCGGAACGGGCATCGCAGTTCTGTATTGCAGCGGGTTTGGGGGTTTTCTGAGGAATTTCGTTACTTTTTGTGCTTTGGTTGGTTGCAGAGGTTTGTTGCGCTCTCGTGAAGTGGGGTCTCTTATGCTGTGGTGGTGGCTTTGTTCACTGCCGAGTTGTGTCCTCATGGCCTTTATTTTATTACTCTTCATTTTAGCTCTGTATGTGTGTGTGTGTGTATATATATGTATATATATAATTTATATATTTTATCATATATAATTTATATATTTTATCACATATAATTTATATATTTTATCATATATATAATTATATTTATCATATATAATTTATATGTTTTATCATATATGTATATAATTTAAATATTTTATCATATATATAATTTCTATAGTTTATCATGTAAAATGCAATTTACTTATATATTACAGTATGCTGTAAACAGTACGTTCTATTAAGTGCGTTTTCTAATATATGTTGATATTTGTATGTTACTGTTTTTGTAATTGTCTTTTTTTTTTAACACTGAGGTGCTGTTAAAGCTGGGTCTTTGTAAGTGGAGTAGCTACTTGCAAGTCCTGCATGCAGGCAAAAAGATGCTTGTTACAAATTGCCCTGATTTCAGCTGTGATAGAAATCGCTTTCTTCCTTAAAAAGTGTAAAATTTAAGAAGATGAAAATTCTGTCTGCATTTCACGCAGTAGCAAGAGACTATCTTTGATTGTTACTGTAATTACCTGTCACTGTTACCTTCGTGTGGTTATTTTGTTTAAAGATGAAAGGTGTTCACTGATGTTGAACAAGGCCTTAACAAGATGCCTTGTCCCTCACAGGCGTTTCCTACCCCTAGGGGTGTTAAATTACAGTGGCAATTGAGATGTTTGATGCCTGTGCTGATATTAAATCACAGAAGAGTAATTAATATGTGTAATACCCATAGAGGTATTAAATTATAGGGTGACAATGTGTATGAATTACTGTACATTATTAATAAGTATTAATTCCTGTACAGATGTTAAATTTTGCAGTGATAATTAATAAGTTAATGCTCTTTCAGGTGTTGAGTTACCAGGGATAACTAAAACAGAGGTGAAGAGAGGAAGTGAGTGTTACCTGCTGCTGTGCCCAACCAGTTCTCCTTTTCTTTAGCTAGCTGGAAAACCTGCAGCCTGAGATCAAGGAGCTTGCCCAGCGCCTTCGCCATGAAGTTTCAGTGCGTGGAAAGCAGCTGGGCTGGTCTGAAAAAGTGGCCAGGTACGAGGGGCATTGTCCACACCTGCTGAATCCATTCCGGAGTGGGATGTGCCAGGAAGGAAGATCCCACAAACAGCATTTTTGCAGCAATATTCTGCCATTGCCCACAGCTTAGATTTTTGTTCCCCACGTATGATTTATTTGTTTGTCCTGTTCCCATTCAGACGTTGTCCATTCCAAAGCTCAGACTTGTGCTTTCCTCTCCGAAAGGTCCCACTTCGCCAGGAACATGCGGAGGATCGTCACGGAGCTGTACATCCGGGACAACTGCCACCCCTTCAAAGCCACCCTGCTGCTGTGGGTGCAGGTGCCCATGTGGGTGTGCGTGTCCCTGGCTCTGCGCAACTGCAGCGTTGGTGCCCTGGGCTCTGCAGGTGGGGGAAAGGGATTTCTGGAGGGATTTTGGGGTCAGAAAAGGGCGTTGTCCCACAAATAGGTGCTGCTCTCACTGCTTGTCTGCTTGCTGCCTTCACAGGCACCTTAAAGGTGGTTAAAGGACAGAGTGTCCCAAGCTCAGTGTACAAGCTGATACAAAAACCAGTCAGCTACTAAGGTTTTAAACCTCATATAGTTTAAACTTAATTAATTAATATAAATAATAAATATTTGAAATTAGTTTCAAACTTAATGTGGTCTGACAGTCCTGTTTAGGAAGTCATATTACACATGCCACACCACGCTCACTGTTAATCTGTATTTTTTTCTCCTTCCATGTGAAATACTATAGGCAAGGTAAATGTGTGAGGGTCCCTTAAATTAAAAAAAAAAGTTATATACTGTTTTACTGGTTTTTTTAGACAAAAGTTTATAGTTCGCTCTTTTAAGCAAAAATGTGGCTAATTATGCAGCTACTAAGAAAAACACAATTTTTTCAAAACCAGGAAGTAAGCACTGTAGGTTACTGCATTCTTATTTCCCTCATTGACTTGTAAAATATTTGAGATGGAAGTATTTTTTATTGCAGATTTACCTGGCTGTGCTGAGCTAAGCCAAGTCTCACCTTGTATCTCTCTCACTTTTCATGCTTGTATAGGTAGCAGAGTGTTAAAACCAAGGATTTCTGCTGTAGTCGTACTTACCATGTGGATAAAACATACCTAGAAACTTGGGTCTGTGATGTAACACTGGTACAATTCTGGCTCACTTGAGGCAGCAAATCATACTGAATTCTGTGTTTTCTTCAATTTTCTTTCCTGTAGTGCAAGAACAGTTTTCCTCAGGAGGAGCACTGTGGTTCACAGACCTCACGGCACCTGATTCCACGTGGATTTTGCCAGTGTCCCTGGGGCTGGTGAATTTGCTGGTGGTGGAGGTACGTCGTTGGGATAAACCAACATAAAGGTGGCTGCAGATGATCACTGCTTTAAATGCACTGGGCAGAAGTGAAACACAATCTGTTTGCTCTGTGTATTTTAATGTGTGGGTGGCTCTGTTCAGAGACCTCCAGGTCAGATGGGACACGTCTCAGATCTACCTGAGCTTCAGTAATATTTAGTCTTTACTACAGTTCCTTTTAGAATGCTGCTCTAATGAGATTTCTGGATGTTGATCCTCAGTTTCAGAAAGAGCTGGTTTATAACTGTGCGTTTCTCCCCTTTCAGATCTTTGCTTCCCAAACAAAAATGCCAGTTTCGCGGATCCGGAAGATTGTCATGAACTTCTTCCGCACGGTGTCCGTGGTGATGATCCCTATTGCTGCCACAGTGCCCTCTGTAAGTACCCAGGTGACCCCTGGGATGTCACCCGTGCCTGGGCTCTTCTGGTGCTTAAAGGAGAGCCCAAAGGCCTCACGTGTTTCATGTTTCCACTGCTGTGTGCTTAAGAAAAGTCAGATGTTCTGTCTATGTGTGTGTTTAAATCTTGTTGCTTTGGGATATTTTTATTCAATGAGGAAGACTTTCCAGACTTGAAAGGTGTTCATGTCCTTCATGTAGCCTGAAAAAGGAGAGGAAAGCTTTGTTTAAAGACGTATAGGCAAATGTTTGTTCACTGGAAACCAGTGTAGTTCTTCAATTAGGAAATTTTCCACATCTTTTTTCAAACACTTGTCATTTTTACCAGGTTTTCTACTGCAGAGTGTTCTTAGCAAAAACAAAGTGTCTGGTTGTTTGGCTCAGTTATAGTTTCAAATACCGAAGTTTAATGTGAATTAATTTAAGAACTGTCAAGCCTCAGTGTAGATGGCACTTTTCCCCAGAAGGGTTCAGAGCCAGACAGCTGCATTTCACATGGAATCCATTATTAATGCAGATGAGAGCAGGAGGAGTGGTTTAGGTGAGTTATTTTTCTCAGTCCCTGGGAGTGGCCCACAGCAGTGGTTCGGGAGGAGCTGCCTGGAGCAGTGCTGTCCTTGCCTGCAGGGAGCTGACCTGTGTTGTGTCCTTGCAGTCCATGGCGCTGTACTGGCTGTCCTCGAGCCTCGTGGGCCTGTCCCACAACCTCCTGCTGCGCTCTCCCGCCTTCCGCCGCCTCTGCCGCATCCCCCGGACCGCGTCCGACTCGGACACGCCCTACAGGGACATGGTGGCTGCCGTGGCCACCAGGTACAGCCTGAGGAGACAGCGCCACTGAGCTCCAGGAAGGGCTGCCTTGGGGGTGAAGTGCTGCTGGTTTAGTCACATGTACTTATCTGCTGTATATTTATTTTCCAAATAAAATGCTGGCTGGCCACGAGGAAGGATTGGTTGGCAAAAATGTGTCTTTACTGGGAAGCTTTGTTTCAAGGGTGGTCTTTCTGCAGTTGCTATAGTCCAGAAATCCAGATTTGTCTCCTGTTTGTCTCCCGAATTGTTATAAGGAATTGGGCAGGTGAGTATGGTTGTGTTCGAGGTCTCAGGAAGAGGGAAGAGATTAGAATCTTTACTCCATGTTTCAGAAGGTTGATTTGTTATATTATGATATTATATTAAAATGCTGTACTAAAACTATACTAAAAAGAATAGAAAGAAAGGATTCATCAGAAGGCTGGAAGGGAAAGGAATGGAATGATAATAAAATCTTGTGACTGCTCACAGCCTTGACACAGGTGGCTGTCATTGGTCATCAAGTGAGAACAATTTCACATGCTGGGGTTAAGCAGTTCTTCAAATCACATTCCAAAGCAGCAAAACATGGAGAAGCTGAAGCTTCCCAGTTTCTCAGGAGAAAAGATCCTGACAAAAGGATTTTTCATAAAATATGTCTGTGACAGGTGAGTGTTAAATAAAGCTATGACTCATATACAGTGCCTCTCTTTCACCCTAAGTCCTAAAGGTTTGGGGTTTTTTTGGGGTTTTTTTTTTTGTTAGAATGATCAGGAATTAATGATTAACTTTTTAAAAGATTCCAAGCTACTACTGTGATGTAAACTAACAAAAATTCGGAAGCAGAAATTTTTAATGCAGACTTGGAAGCATTTATTTGAATTGTTGTCATAGCCTAGTGGAACTTTACTCAGGTAGGGCTGAGATACACTTTCTGACTAAAACCAGCAGTTTAGAAGAAAAAGTGCAGATGTCATTGGACTAATAACACTGCACTTTACCTGTGGGGATGTTTCACTGAGGTCTGAGAACATCAGTGATAGAGTTATGCCTGGGTGCTGCCAGGATGTTTTTATACCAAAAAACTCCCAAAACAGGTGTGAAACTGAAGGTGAAGCAGCCAAAAGCATCTCATCTAATGCTGTCTAACAATTCAAAATCCACAGATAAGGATACCAGAAGGTATGTGATAAAGCCATTTCCAGGTGTCCATTACAGGTAAGATCATGTTCTAGATTTTTGAAGGGTCTCCCGGGTTTCTCTGAATGAATATCATTTTGTCTCAGGTGAAGGTGTTGGGAAAAGACTGTGCAAAGGGGAGTGAATTTTTCTCTGGGAAGCTGATGGTAGAGGGAGCTGGTGCTCCATGCAGTGCTGATGGAAGCTGCCTCTCCTTCCTCAGCAGCCTCACCTGAGAGGGGCTCACATTCCCAGCCTGGGAACAGGGGAGGCTACAACAGCAATGTCACGTGTGCAGTAGAAAAATAAAATCATATTTCTTGGGAAACAGGACTGTGAAACTGGTCACTGAAAAAAATGCCTCACAGCTATGTCAAAACCCCGTATGTTCATTGCAGGACACTGGCTTTGTTAGATTTGCAGTTCTCCGTTTATTTTACACCCTTTTGACCTTATAAAATGACACCCAAGACCTTCCAGTGTGAGTTAAAAGAGATGAAGTTGAGTGTGTTTGGTGTTGGATTTGTCACAGCATTATTTTAGGCCTGGAAGAGGGTTGTTGGAACACTGCTTGTACTTAGGAGGGAGCCTAAGCTTGAGGAACTGCAGTCAGGCAAGTACAAATTCCCTGAATGGGCTCTGTTCAGAAGTGCTGAAATATCCTGGCTGGATAATACGTGTTTCATCCTCTGTCGTGAAGATGCAGTCTGAACTTGGAGAACAGGGCTGTGATGCTTGTTGTCTTTGGTGGTTGTGCCCTGCAAAAAGACACTGTTTACACAAAAGCTTCCCTCTGTTAGTAATGACTGTTCCAGTACATTGTCTGGCCTAATATCCTTGTCTCAGTGTTTGATGCTGTTTCTGGGGAAGAGGATGGGAGCTTTGCTGTTTGCCTTTTTATGGTAATGCAATTATTTTGTTGTCAGTCCATGCTGATGACACAAAGATGGAGCAAAGATACATATAATGGTGTGTGTCAGGTCAAATGAGTCCTTGACTGTGGAAGGGCCAAGGGAGCTTTCTGGAGAAGAAGTCAGAAAAAACCTGCTGCTGTGTTCTCTGAGAAACCTGACTGAAGGGTCTTAAAAAAGCCTGTACAATATTCTTTGTGAATGATCCTTTATTAATTAAGTAATGTCATCTATAGCTCTGGCTTAACTGTGTCTCCACCTCTCCTATTTGTTTCCTGTTCTGGCTTTGCTGAAAGCAAAGAAATTGTAAGTAAATGAGCAAAACCCAGTAGTGATAAAATAATTGTTGTTTTAGGAAGGAGGGCAGTTCCCTCCTAACTTCCTGTGATTATTAAGCAGAGACACTATAGGTGAGGTGAGCTGGCCCCTGTCCCATTCAGGAATGAGATGTCAGTATGATCCAACACCTTTTCCAGGCTGGTGGAGGTGGTGCTGCTGTCTGCCAGAGAATTTGACACCTTCCCAGTCTACCTGGTTGTTCTTTGGGGTTGTTTTAGTGGGGAATCCGAGCTCCTCGTCCAAAGTGCAGTTACTAGGATGGATTCCTTGAAGTGAAAGGATTTTTTTTTCCCAGACTGAGTGTCACTTTTGGCACGATTCCATGGTTTCTGGAAAGTATAAAAGCGTCGGAGTCCTGTTGGGTGCACTGCTGTACACACGGGGGTGCTCCAGCTCCTGTCAGCTGCGGGGCTGCCGGGTTCCAAAATCCAGGACAGGCAGGTAAGCATTAGACTTAAACTTTTTCCCTCCTGTGTCTTTTCATCTTGATGCTGTTTCAGAGCTTAATCAGGCTGCCCTTCACAGTGTACACTTCTTTTCCACCTCGCTGCCATGCCCCTTTGAAGTAACCCAGTGTTCAGCACTGCTGAGTTGAAAATAATGGAGAGAGCTGCCTTGCTGCTCCCTCTTTGTGGCCGGGGATGCCAAAGGGAAGCAGGATTGTTGTGTCAGAACAATCCCTGGCTGTCTTTGCAAAGCCCTTCGTGGGTGCAGCCATGTGGCCAGCTGCCAGCAGGACTCCTTTTTTCACTTAGTATTATTAACCTACCTATGTTTAATTAATCTGACTGATTTCTAGTGGTAAATAAGGTATTCTTCATTCCTTTGAAGCTCAGCATAGTGCTAAAAGCAACAGCAGCTGCTGCTTTCCTGAGTGAGTTGTTCTGTTCTATTTCCTGAGTTTCAGGGATCACAAAAAAATTGGGAATGAGGGATCAGTGCTTCACATCAATGGCACCTTTATGATTTTGATCCATTTTTGCTGCACAAAACTGTCTTGTTACAGGCTCTGAGTTTGGGTAGGGATGTTTAAAGAAGCCTGTGTAAATTAGGGTCATCATTAAGATGAGTGCACACATCCCTATATTCCTTTATTTAAGGAGTTGAGCTTTGTGGATTCATTTGTCAAGGTAACTATTCATAATTTGATTGCCTTAATTAACTTTGCAGTTGGAGTAATAGCAAATAACTTTTTTTTGGGCCTGTTTTACTTAATATAAACCCCCACTTTTGTTTGAAAGCAGAGGAGACCACTACTGCCTTATTTGTAAGGATTTGCCTTCTGGAGGAAATCTTCCAGCTCCCAGAATCCCTGGTGCTCAAATCCCTCATGGAAATAAGGGGTATGGTGCTGTGTGCTCTGAGGCTTAATATTACCTGGCCTTTTCAGGCCTGGAGAGAGGTAGGGAAGGCATTTCCCTGTGCCAAGTACCCCTACTTTCCTGCAAGGAAGTCACACTCCTGTATTCACACTCGGCTGTAGAAAGGTGGTTTTGGTACTTGCTGCTGAGAACAGAGGAGAATCTGGGATGCTGTCACAAGCTTAACTTTGGCTTTACGAGTCCCAGGCTCAAACGTGTGAAATGGAGGGGACAGAGAGGCTGGAAAGCCACTTGGAATGTCAATGGCTACCACAGAGGCTGTAAGGGGAAGAATGTTAATTGGAAACAAATGCCAGCCTTCAACACCATCCATTCCTGAGGACAAGGGCCCTGTGCATTCAGGAGTTTGGGCATGAGCATGTTTACCTGAGTTTTCTGGGGAGCTGTTGGTCAGTTCCAGAGTGGGTGGAATGCCAACCCATGGTGAGTGATGGATCCTTGGAAGTACAAGAGGGCAAGAAGGTCTGTGACTTGTAGTTAAAATGTGCTCTTGGCAGGCAAGTAAAGCGAGCCAAGAAGTGCTTTTCCACTCTGGTGTATTAAGATGACCTGAGATGGGCCAGAAATCTTCAGGCAGGGACGTGGTAAGCTTTGAAATACTTAAACTTGAGCAGGGCAGATCATCTGCTTGGCTTTTGTCCTGCTTCCTATTTGGGGGCTGTGATGGACTCCCATTTGTCCTTGTGTCTGTTTTTCACTTTGGGAATGTGTGTAGGAAAATGGTGAACTGTGAAGCTTATCTGACAGGATAGCATTTAAAATACAGATTTCCTGGAGGTTTTGAAAGGCTGGATTTGATTTGAGAGGTCTAGTGGAGGTACCAGAACACTCAAGTGCAGTGATTTTCTTTCAGCACCTGAGTTTGAACAGAAAAGTGACCTCTGTCCTGCTGACAGAGGTTTATCAAACATACCTCAGTGGGAGCTGCTGCAGGCAGAGAACGTGTTCTTCTGGACAAATTCCTGACCTTGAGCTCTCTCTGTCTAGAAAATAAATGATGAAATCTTCTACTGGGGGAAATCAGTTGCTTAGAAATGTAGCTAATAAAATATAAATAGTGGCAGTACTCTCTAGGCACGTTATTTCTGCTTTGAGGAAGAGCTGGAGATTGGAAGTTGGCAGACAGCAGCTTTTTGGAGGTTTCATATCAATGCAGCCTAAACCTTGTGGGTACAACTAAAGGGATTTTAGTTTAGATTCAGTTTAGAACTCAAGTTCTTTGTGCATTTTTTTAAAGCCCAGCTGGCCACGTAATGAAAAAGGGGTTTGTTTTTTGTTCTTTTGGGGTTTTTTTAAGGGTCTGTAAAGAGGTACTTTATACTCACTCAGCTGTTTGGAAATATTTCT